GAGAGAGAGAGAGAGAGAGAGAGAGAGAGAGAGAGAGAGAGAGTGAAAGCGCTCACTCGGCTGTTGTATCTTTTGAACGCAGTCAAAGAGATACTTTTCTAAGTCTACATACATACACACACACATACACATACAGGCAAATGTGTGTACCTCGATAGAAACTCCTGCATTGCATCGTCGCGACGGCATGCCTTACGTAACGCGAACATAATCGATTACATAAAGAACGTGAGCGTGTTGGCCTATACCTGAATGGCTTTCCTGAGATTTCCGCTTTCGAATCTGGACTCGAACTGCAACTGCTTCGTGTCGAGCACGCGCTTGCCGAGCCTCTTCTCGTCACAGTTGTCGAGCAGGCGCGCGACGCGTCCCTGACGGCAGGCGGGACTCGCGAGAGCGTCGAGATCGTAGACGACTTCCTGGACGGTGGAAGGATGGAGGCCGCGCTCTACGCAGGTCAGTAGTTTCGCGCGGCAAACCTTGCGATCCTTGGTGTTGAGCGGTTCGGCCTTCCCCGAGCCGTCGCCGCCGATCCAGTCCGGATAGGCGACCTTCACGAAGCCGATGACGCTCCTCACTCTGCTCGCCACCACGCAATATGCGTCCCGATCATCCGTCAGCTCGCCCGATGCGTCCTCAAGGACCTTCAAGCGGTGCTTGTCGTTCGTCACGAGTTGCTGCTTCGCCGTACCGTTCAGTCTCGTGAAGTCTTTGGGGGGTGTCTTCGCCTTTCCAGTCTTCGTGAGCTGCGAGTCCGCCTGATCGTCCTCGATGAAGCCAAGCTCGGTTAGCTTGACCGCGGATGACCCGGCGATACGCAGCTGCGACCGCAGACCTCCCAGTTCTCTGAAGAACGTGTAATACCTGGAGGGGATAGAAAAATATTCGCTGGCGTTATATAATATCGCATTATGTAATAAGTAAGAAGTATAAATACGTATATAAAACATAAGTATGATAAAGTTTTTAAGATAAAGTACTACTATGTCCAAAAAGTAAGACCAATTTAAAATTTTTTTTTTAAATCTTTATTTATTATTCCAAATCTATTTCGTCGCCTTCAAAGTAATCCCCCTCAGACACAATACACTTATGCCAACGTTTTTTCCAACCCTCGAAACAGTTGTTAAAGTCGATTTCCGGAATGACCTTCAAAACTTTCTTCGATCCAGCTTGTATCTCTTCAATCGAGTCAAAACGGTGTCCCCGGAGCGGTCTTTTGAGTTTAGGGAATAGCCAGAAGTCACACGATGCTAAATCAGGTGAATATGGTGGTTGTGGAACGATATGGGTCGAATTTTTGGCGAAATGGTCTCGATGGTGCATTATCGTGGTGCAAAAACCAAGAGTTGTCTTTCCACAATTCCGGCTTCTTTTTGCGAATAGCTTCACGCAAACGACGCATAATTTGACACAGATGTCTGTCACAGTGCTACCAATTTAGAAAAAAAATATTTCTGACATTCGATATACCCGCGCAATTTAACCTGAAAATTGGTCTTACTTTTTGGACACAGTAGTATTCATTTGTTTGCATTATACGGAAAGAGTTTTACGATAAAAATTACTACAGAATTTGGTAGCCGAGAACAATTCTGGATTAATCGACTATTTTCATTTCATATGCGCCACTTGTGTTTCAGGAACTTGTGGATCAGGAACTGAAATATACTGTTAAAAAATTGGCTTTGTTTCTAGCAAAGTTCACTATGCTCCTTGGCAAAATAGACGCCTTACTGACAATCTATTCCTGCACTATTAGAAACATAGCAAAATTGAAAAAGGAATTTCTACGAAGAAAAAGAAACTCTAATAGAAAAAGAAATATTTCTATAAGAAAAAGAAATTCTCTCAGAGTGCACACTGTATAATATTCGTTTATTTACTTATACCTAAAAAATATTGGAGGTTGTGAGATGGAGTAAATTGTAACAATTTTAAAGTCAATTTCGATATCAACTCACTCAAGTTAGGACTTAAATTTCAATAATGTATCAGCAAAACATAATTACTTTTCACTTATCCAACGAGATCCTCCTCGGATCTCTGCGACTATTAAATACATAGCAAAATTGAAAAAGGAATTTCTACGAAGAAAAAGAAACCCTAATATTCTCTCAGAGTGCACACTGTATAATATTCGTTTATTTATTTATTTATACCTAAAAAATATTGGAGGTTGTGAGATGGAGTAAATTGTAACAATTTTAAAGTCAATTTCGATATCAAGTCACTCAAGTTAGGACTTAAATTTCAATAATGTATCAGCAAAACAAAATTACTTTCCACTTACCCAACGAGATCCTCCTCGGATCTCTGCGAGGTGAAGACCCCGGCGAAGAATTTGCCCTCGTCCACCTCGTCGCTCATGTAGATCCCGTTGTCGATCGCGCTCCTGGAGTCGTGGCTTTCCTCCTCCTCCTCCTCATCGTCGCCGGAGTCCAGGTCGCTGTACAATCTGCCGACCGACGCTACGCTGTTGGCCTATGCGAAAATAGATATTCGAGTCACGGGAGAATTCAACGGTACCGTCGTGTCGTAAGGTCCGTAACGACTCTCGAAAATGCCGCGGCACTTGGTATGCAAAGCGAGAAAATTATGAGGCGAAGGGCCATGCTCTGTCGACGAGCGCGCTGCGCTTCAAGTCTCCATCAGACTAGGTGTTGGAGTCGCGGAGATTGCGGATTGGAGACTAACATTTGCAACTGATTTTTGTCTCGATTAGCTTGGTGCCAATTCTGCAATCCACAATCCTGCGGCGGTCTCGCGAGAGCGCTACGTCGGGCCGAAAGTGCCGTGAGAAAAGGTACACACCTGGCTGTCGATGTCGCTACCGCTTTCAGCGCTGTTCGCCCTGACATTCGCTTCGGGCAGAACGAATCTGCATGCAGAAAAAAGATCGATCGAGAAAGAGAATTTAGCTAACGCGCAAACGTCATCCTCGTCAAAAAGACACACCGTCATGCCACTGGCAACGCGGACAGTCCCCAATTAAGTCCGATTACGTTGTGTAACGAATCTACCGTTAGATATTTTGTCACGATACAGGAATACACGCGTCCACCAAAGCACGAGGCCACAAGCGGAGCACAGAGTATACTTGAGGCAACACACGACTCGATTAATTCCGGGATTAAATTAATTCCCATTGAGATTAAGTCAATTTCCATTGAGATTATGATTATGAGGTCGGCGAAACGAGGTGCACTCGTGCGCCGTAAAAATATCGAAACTTCGTGCTTTCAACAAGCGTTATCTTAATTATTAATTCGAGAACATTGGCGGATCATATCGCGCGATAATGTACCAATATTCTCGAATTAATAAGTAAGAATCTGAATGGTTATTTGCAAAATGGTAAAAGACTTTTTTGTTCAGTTTCACCTAATCTACGCGTGCATGAAGTATGGGGCGCTTAGAGCCGATTTTTCCAACCTCTTGGTATAAGCTGACAATTGAATCATGTCCGTCTTTGTTTCTCCTTCAAGTTATACGAAGACAGACACATGATTCAACCGGTTAGTCAGCTAATCAAAAGGTCAGAAAAATCTGCCTTTAGTGTCAGACACTCTGTATAGTTGCCACTGTCATATTTTTCTCTGAGTGCACACAGGATGTGCTCGAAAGGTGATTCAAAGCTTTGCAGCGCTCACTGAATTGAACAAAAAGTGCTAAATTAATATAAGAACAAAGAAATACACTGAAATGAAAGGAACTTTACATAGAATATTTTTTATAACAGATTAATATGATAAAAAAGTTCCGATAAAATGATGAAATAATTCCGCCGTGGAAAATCGCTGTTTACCCTGAAAGGCCCGCGAAGCTACGTTGATAAATCATTGTTTATTCGGTTCAATGAGCATTACGAGTCTGCAAAGCTTCCAGCCACCTCCCAACCACACTCCAGACAATAATAAGTGTATCACAACTGTGTCGCACGCTTGGCGGGATTCGATGGACCGGTCGGAACGACCTCGAACGTTTCATTCACCTCGCGGGCGACATTTCGGGCACCGGTAATTCCTTCTTTTCCAGACACTGATTGATTATACCGCAAATACGAGACAGCAGGCAGTCGTAGGCTTTGTCCTCCGGACAGTTTGTGCAGAACCGGTACAGTAGCTGTAGGCCGTTGTTCGACTTGATAGCCTTCCTGCCGGCTTCTAGAGCGAGTGGACAAAGAGGAGAGCACGGTGACTTTCAAGAGCGCGTTCAAAAGGCGAGAAACAACACGAGCGTGACGCGACATGCACGATCGGCGGGGCTCGCACTATCCTCCGTGTTATTAGGAAATTCTTCGCAGGGTCTACGACGGCGTACCGAACTTACTTATCACGCCAAGATGCTGAAGAGTGTTCAGGGCGTAATTGCAGATCTTGAGCCGCATCGGACCGTCGAATCGCTCCCACCTCTCGAAGATCCGCATCAGCAGGTGCACTATTCCCACTTTGACGAGTTTGTTGCAGCAGAGTTCTGAAAGTAAAGTAAAGTGTCACGCCGGAGGTAATGGTAACTGGACAATCGTGTTTTTGTTTCCTGAAGGAAACAAAAAGAAAGAAAGTGATCAGGCTGATGGAGGAAAACGGGGAATACATGCATCGAGCGTACTCACTGTTGGTCGTGAAGTGCTTGAGGCATTCTAACAGAGTTCTTAGCTTCAAGTGCGGCGTATAACCGACGTTGACGAACGTTTTCTCCAGAGTGCTAGCGATGCCGTCCTTCACTAGGATTTGCAGGGAGAACGCTGTCGAAGAGACGACCGAGTGAAGCGACGAGTATACAGCACGATCGAAGGAATAATCGGAGGCTTACGATTTTTTGCGAGAGTCTTGATGATCAACAGCAACGGCAGTAATATTTTGCTGTTGTTGTAGTGCTGCCTCAGCAGCGTGTGGAACACTTTGATGGAGTTGAGCAATTTCATCTTTGACACGAACTTCTGGTCCCTCTGCGCCACCTGGAAGCGACCGCAATGTATCTCGTGTTTCGCACAAGTTCCGCAAAAAGTGTTCAACATATTAACATTTAAAAAATATCATCTCTTCCTTAGCAGAATTCTCTTGTATATGACTTCGAGATGATTCTTCTACAATTAAGAGGGAAATATTCTAACAAGTAAACCTAGGTTTACTTGAAAGGTACACTCCGATTTCTTTCTAATTTGGCACAAATGTAGAAGTACAAAAGATATTTTAAATGATATTTTTTCATTTTGGCCCACTTTGAATTTCACGGGCAGTTTATAGTTTTTTTAATGTTCTATCAACAAAGTACAACAAAAATGCATAAGAAATAAAATTGAATGCAAGATATAGTTAAATAATTTTAACAAAATCGGCATAGCTAAGACAAATCACTCTAAATTTCTTTAGCCGAAATACCAACCAAAATATTTTAAATCTGTGCTAAATTAATAAAAAATGGTTCAAATCTCGGCTAAAGAAATTTAGAAAGGTCTCAACTATGCCGATTTTGTTAAAATTATTTAACTATATCTTGTATTAAATTTTATTTCTTATGCGTTTTTGTTGTATTTGTTGATGATACGAATGAGAACATTAAAAAGCTATAAACTGCCCGTAAAACTCAAAGTGGGCCAAAATAAAAAAATATGACTTAAATATTTTTTGTATTTCTACATTTGTGTCAAATTAGAAAGAAATCGGAGCGTACCTTTCAGGTAAGTCTACTTCTAAGTACAATATTCTTACAGTTATAGAAATTTCGTCTTTTATCTACAGTTTTACGTCTTGTTTTTGACAGAAATTCTAATAAGAGAGCATGCTTCTTGAAGTAAATATATCTCTTTTGATTCAAAAGAAAAAAGAATAATATCTAACAGATTTTAACTAATAGTCTACTTCATTAGAAGAAGAAATTTTTTTGGTTTTTACCAAAAGCCTTCTCTTAGAATGTGGACTATAAAGAAATAGCACTTTACAACTACAGTTCTCCTTTTTTACATTTCAGAATATTTTCTTTCTGATTTTAAAAGAATTCTCTTGAGGCCGATACATGAGAAAATTCCGCTAAAAATAAGATTATACTTTTTTTTGGGTGAAAGTATAGAAATATTCACATATAAAAAAATATGCATCAATCTTAAAACTGACGAGAATCACCTGGCCCAAAATAGAGAGGATGTCTTGAGTGAGCATTTCGTTCGTGATGGTGTCTGCGTGCTGCAAGTTTATTAAAAGTTTAACTAGGACTTGCGTGATACCTAAGTTGATCAGTTGAATGACCGCCATTCGGCTACTGGTTCCTGTTAAAAAGACGAAGAAACCAACGCGTTACTTTTGATCTCGAAGACTTAACGTCGTCGCGGATACGCGAGGTTTCCTGTTTCTTTAAGAACGATATATGTATTTTTTTTCATTTTTTCGTAACAAAATTGCCGTTATACTTGTGGCACTCTTGTTCTTGCTCCCCTTCTTCTTGGACTTGCTTTTGCTCGCTCGGGGCGATATGCATTCGTGTAGTATGCCAGCGATACTGCAGTCGGCGACGTAATCCTTGCAGTTCTGAAAAGAGCGTCGGAATTAACTTAATTCGCGCCCCATTATGCTATGTTAGATCGCAAAACGGGGAAAAAGAGGAGCGCCTTTCCCATTTCCGTCTGTCAAATAGTCCAATGAGACCCCAGGCGTTTCGCTCGCCGCCGAGATAACACGGTAAAAAGTAATTACAGAGTCGCGTGAACGCGAGCGCGAGCGATTACTCTAATCGGCGTTGCGCGCAAAACACTTGTCGGCAACTGGGACAGGCGCGAATATCCAGTTTTATGAGCCGGTCGCTTCATGAGCTTTCCCAGACGTGCAGACAATGCGGAACGGAGCGTGTCGCATGACACCACCTAGGTAGTTCCGCAGATAATGCCAGATTATCGCGCGCGCGCGGTTATCCAAACTCCTTAATTGCTTCCACGCTGTGTCTCGATACGAAAGGCCGACCGGCCAAACGACCGTAAACGCTCGTAATTCTCTCTCTCTCTATCTCTTGCACTTACTACACGTCTAGACACCCAACACGCACGCACCTGTACACGTGCACGCTTCATACTATTATCGATTAGCGGTGCTGTTAACACGCGAAACGCTCGTAGCTTATGCCCCGCGTGCCGATAAGACACACGTTACAATTAACGGGCGATAAAATGATACATAACGGGGATTCATTGTGTGTGAGGGATTACTTTAATTAAAAGTTATTTACCTCCAGCGCCACTATGAACGACTCCATCGCGCCGGAATTCTTGTGCCAGAGTTTCTCCAACGTGCGCTCGCGCATCCGCCGGTCTGCAAAACACATTTCAACGATGATCAGGCGCCGCGACAAGTGAACAATCTTGGGGGAAATCATTCTCTTTCTGATACTCGTGAACGACTTTTAACAGTTGTATAACAATCATTTTTCCGACTAAATGATTTATTAAAGACTTATTTTAAACATAAGAACTGTATATTTTATAATTTTAAAAAGTTCTATTACCATGTATTGTTAAATAGTTTTATCAGAATCTTCAGAATTTTAAATAGTTTTATCAGATCAAAATATGATATAATGAAAGTAACCAACCAATGATTATTTTATATATATATTACACATAATATATATAAGACGTTTCTTTTTGTTATGCAGTTGAATGCTGACGCAAAGCCTATTTTTTATTCAATATAGGCTCGTCTTTGCCGCGTCAATTGTGATCGATTTTTTTTTTAATATTTTGTAACCGTTATGCTTACTATATACATATATGCATGAGAAATATTATCTTCGCTTTTATATATGTATTGCGTATAAATAAATATAAACTATTGTAAAGTTGTTACAGTATACAAAATTGAATTCATAATTCCTCATTACGTGAATTCTCATTGCTCTTTGTCTATGTAGCAAAGTGTTCCAGTGGTCTCGATTTTTGCCACTGAATGACAAAAATCATTGAAAAAGAGAAATACGTTTTCCAAATGACATTTCGAATACAATATAACTGCATTCAGGAGGTATCATTCACTTGACTTCATCAAACATTCCAAAAAGGTTTTTCCTTCAATTTCACGGGGGCTGCCAAATAGAAGGGTTGAATTCGTCAAGCCGCAATTGGTATAAATTTACGTATAAATAAATATAAACTATCGCAAAGTTGTTACAGTATACAAAATTGAATTCATAATTCCTCATTACGTGAATTCTCATTGCTCTTTGTCTATGTAGCAAAGTATTCCAGTGGTCTCGATTTTTGCCATTGAATGACAAAAATCATTGAAAAAGAGAAATACGTTTTCCAAATGACATTTCGAATACAATATAACTGCATTCAGGAGGTATCATTCACTTGACTTCATCAAACATTCCAAAAAGGTTTTTCCTTCAATTTCACGGGGGCTGCCAAATAGAAAGGTTGAATTCATCAAGCCACAATTGGCGTTTGCGCAGGGCGTCGACTGGGACATCGTCGCGTTGCCAATGTTCACCGACAATGCGTTCTTTGAAAGCAGTCCGAGACGCCGTTTTGCGCACATTCGCAGAATTCTCGATTCTCGCATTGGACTTGACGCGACGCCAATTGGTAGCGGTGTTTATAAAAAATTCGCGGGCGTCGTATGGTCGCACATCGATCGACCGAGTCGCGAAGATCGCGGCACGCTTGCACGCGCCGCGATTTGCAGGAGCGTGTAGCGCATCCGCGTGTTTAATTTTCCCTCCTCTCATCTCTTTCTCTCTCTGAGATCATAATTAAATACGACCGGCGCGACGCGCCGCCGTGTGGCCTACAGCGAAATTTTAGTAACGTCCGCGTACGTATCCAACTATGTCGCAAAATTTCAGCTGCTATTGGCGGCGAGATGGCGCGAGTAAAGGCGCATCCACATTTCTTGGCAGAAAAGCAGGAGGCAGAAAAGCAGGAGCCAATCAAAACTCGTGCTGTTGATCCAGGCAGTAGGCGACTCAGTTTCTGCCTTCTTACCAGCGCTAGTCCTGATTGGCGGCTTCTGACTTCCTGTTTTCTGCTTTTCCGCCGAGGTGTGAACGCGCCCTGACGCGCGGCAAATTCCGAGCCGCAAATTCCGTGTTTTCCGCGGGACGACCGGCCAAGAGGTTCGTTAAATTGTTGACTCTCGCCTTATCAAATTGGCACGCGGGAGCGTGTGCATCGTCCGGAGCCACTCGCTGGAGCGCGGCCAACAGATTTGTCTGTCGCAGTCTCACCGAAAATCATTACGCAATTGGTAGACAGTAGCCGGCTACTGTTTGCACACCTGTTCGCACCAGTCGCCCGAAAATCGAGGATAAATCAGCGAATTGATATCTGCCCGACGCACGCGACGGCAAAAGTTCGGGCGAAAGCGATAACAACTGATCTCACTGATGTGTTAAGAGAAGTGTGCAAACTGTTTGAATCGAATGGAATCGCGTCAAGTGAGATCCGATTCGACTCGAATCCGAACTATTTGATAATGTCAAATTGCGGAAATTTAAACCTGGAACTCGAAGAAATCAATTGATCCAGAACTCTATAATTGGGAAGGGGTATTTCCAAATAATATTAGAGTAAAACAATTAGAAATTCTAACATTAATAATTGGAATGTAAGATAGTTGAGAAGCACGGCGTACGTTGCAAGTTTGGAAAAATATTTCACGCGTATGTTGGCATACGTTCAAGCGTTATTATCCTCTCATATTTCAAGATGATTCGCACTAATATCTAGCAGCTAGCTGCCACAGGCTCTACGTTACCAATTACATTGTTAACTGACAGTTAAGCTTCGACGATTCGATTCGATTCGACATGGGATATCCTTGATTCGTACATCTCTGACGTCACCACGTGCCACATCGTCATCAGTGTGGATAAGCAAGAAAAATTCCGTCAAATTTTTCAATAATGTCGTTTGCGAAAGATGTTGGCAGTCATCAGTCGGCAGTCAAGGATGGACGATGGCGCAAAGTCGGTTTGCTAGAAAGTGACGCGAATTGCACAACTTTGTCATACGGTTGGCCGAAAGCAGTCACGATCAGAACAAACGACACGATTGCCGTATCCAATGTCTCCTTCGTGACGTGTTCGCGTCCCCGCTAATTTCCCAGGACACGGACAGCCGATACTACTTCCGCCACGGTCTTATCGAACTTAATGTACGAATAACACGATGCAAATGTAACGGCATACGTGATGTAGAGCGACGTTTCGCCTCGGTATCTATAGCGCGATATCTATAGCGCGGGGGCTATCACATAAGAATGATAAATCGCGCAAGTTCCGTCGTCGTTTCGGCGAGCCGGAGCACGATAGGCTCCGGCTCGCCGGCAGGTAATAATATACCGGCACGAATTTCGCCCTGAAGTGTCCAATCTTGCTCGATTCGTTTAGAACTTTATTGCCACCGCGGTCGCCATTCGCACGAGCCCAATTGCGCGCTTATGGGAACTGGTGGGTCAGATTTCATGAAAATCGTGCTTATTCTTTCACAATTTTTTATGACAAACTGAATGAATATGCGACAGTGTTATTTCGACGTGTATTTATGCATCATATAAAGAGAAGAAAAATATAATTTTGATGTTCAAATATTCAATATAAGCGTATATATACAGGGTGTAAAAAAATTAGACCGACAAACTTTGAAGGAAAATAGAGGGCATAAATACAAACATATTTTGTTAATAATATTTTTCTCTACGACGTTTTGTTTTAATACTACAGGGTACAAAATAGGAATTTTATGATTTTAATAAAAAACAAACATATGTGGAAAAATTAAATTTATTTCAATTACACATATCTATTTTAATCTTCAAAAAACAATGAACAAAAGAACGGAACAAAAATGCGCAATTGATTAGCTCAATTTATAATAAATGTCCAAAAATTCCTCCATTTGCTTCAACACAAAGATGACATCGTCGAAACATTGATTGTCTCACACGCTCGAAGACTGCAGGAATATTCTGAACCTGATATGCTGCAGCAGTAATTCAGGCTACCAATTCTGCTTCTGTTTCAATAGGTGTCTCATAAATCACAGTTTTCATATTATAAATTGAGCTAATCAATTGCGCATTTTTATTCCGTTCTTTTGTTCATTGTTTTTTGAAGATTAAAATGTATACGTGTAATTGAAATAAATTTAATTTTTCCACTTATATATTTGTTTTTTATTAAAATCATAAAATTCCTATTTTGTACCCTGTAATATTAAAACGAAGTATCGTAGAGAAAAACATTATTAACAAAATATGTTTGTTTTTATGTCCTCTATTTCCCCTCAAAGTTTGTCGGTCTAATTTTTTTACACCCTGCATATATATGGTACAAACAGTTAAAATATATTTTGTTTTCTTTTTCAAGGTCATCATTTTGCGGTAATATCTTGAGTTTCGGTGGTTCAATTAAGCTGAATTTTAGGTAGAAAATTTCCGTAAACTTGTCGTTATCGTGTGAACCACTATAATAGAAATTGAGTAAAAGTTAACAAAATTGCAATGTCTTAATAGAATATTATTAAATTTTCAGTTCTTTTATAATAAAAAATTAGTATTTCAAAATTAAATATTTTCACGAGTTTATCAGTAGTACACACGATAATGACAAGCTTACGGAAATTTTCTACTTAAAATTCCGCTTAATTGAATCACCGAGAATCAAGATATAACTGCAAAATGACGACCTTGAAAAGAAAAACGAAATCTATTTTAACTACATGTACCACACACTTATATTGAGTATTTGATCATCAAAATTATATTTTTCTTCTTTTTATATGTTGTATAAATACGTCAAAATAACACTTTTGCATATTCATTCAGTTTGTCATAAAAAATCTTGAAAGAACAAGCACGATTTTCAGGCAATTTGATCCTCTAATCCCCTTATCCTGCGCTTATCGTGCGTTCATGGCGCGCGCTACGAAGACAACACGCGATTCTGAATGCTAATGAGAAGGTAAATGATGTAATCGAGACGAAGACCGAACGTACCTCTCAATAATAATTTACTCTCGACCGTATTTACTCTCTATGTCGTTGGAATATTTCCAAGATAATTAGCGAAGCATTTGTGAAAAGGGAAACAGAAAGTTAACGCACTCTCTAGATTTCTCAGAATATTTTACTCGAAAAGTTAAATGACTGGTGAGTTTACTTGAATTCGAGTGACTTTTCATTTATATGGAACGAATTCTTTATTTTGAGGAATTTCAAGTGAACATTTTCATTTGAAATTAAAGAGTGGTTCCGATGTACCTCTGTCACATGTTCACTCTAATTGATTGGGACATTTACTTGAGATGGAGCCAGAATCCATTCTAAGCCCGAGTGAAACATTCACTTTTGCGATTTCGAATGACAGTATCTTCATCGTCGCCTCGAACGAAATTACTTTTCACTCGTTTTGAGTGAAATTTCTCACTCCAAGAAATTTATTTGATTATATAGAATATTATTTTATTATAGGGAATATTATAGGTTCTTTCATTTAAATTCTTCTCAATTTTACTATGTTTGTAATAGCGGAAGAAATAAGGTCTATCTCACTAAAGAACATAGTAAGTTTGTTAAAGACATAGCAAAGCTTTTAATAGCAAATTTCAATCTCTAAAATATAAACAGCTCGTATAAAATAAAAGAATAATTATTTGGATAATCAAAGTACTACATAAGCTATTCTTTGATTAAAAAGTTCTATTTTTCCTAGAAAATCTTTCCCGTGTAGAAGCGTGAAAAAGTGAAAAAAGTCGTAAAAAGCTAAAAGTTTTGTTCGCGAAGATAGATTCGACAATTTCAGCGATCATGTAAATTCTCAAGCTACACTGAGAGAAAAATGTATGATATTTGGAACTATAATAGCATAGTAAAAAGATTATAGGTAGAAATATTATTTTTATAGTAAATGTTATCATAATGTTTGTAATATTTATAATATAAGCATAATATAATTGATGTAAAACTTTTACCAAGAATTATAATTATTTAAAATAAAAAGTATAGTAAGGTAGCAAATATTAAATGGTAAGAAAAATTAACTATTTTATATAGTCAATATTTTATATAGTCTATTTTATATAGGTAAGAGAAATTAACTATTTTATATAGTCAATTGGAATATTTGGCAAATATAGGTGCATGTAACTATATTCCCAAAATGTGCTTTACTATACACATAGAGTAATAAAATGGTGACTATAAATCTATATTCATTCTGCTATATCTTCATGTTTAGATGAACTATAAATGTATGTTTGAGGCCAAAATAATCTATAAAATATGAGATTATAATTATTAATTATAACTATAAATTTAACTATAAATTATAACTATATTATAACCATAAATAGTGAGATTATAATTATTCCAATAATTTTTTTCTCTCAGTGTACACGAAACTCTTTACGCGAAACATTTTTCACGTTTCGGCTCCTCAAGGAGAGCTACTTCTTCATCATCAGCCTGAAACGCGAAGACGCCACATCCGACGAGTGTCCAAGTATCCAGAGTACGTACCTGACGAAGTGAGACGCGCGTGAATCTTGGCCAGGACCGCCCGGAACGCGTCGCCCGCTTCTTGCGGCTTAGCCGCGTGAGCTCGCAGCTTCTCCAACAGCGCGTCGCTCACTGCCTCGTCCGCGCTTCTGTTACCCGCCGACATCACACTAGACCCGATCGCAGAAAAACAACGAAGGTCATTTACTTCCAGTCGGGGGCGAATCGCACAGCGGCTACAACGATTATCGTACGATCGCATGGGACATAGCGCGGAGAGATCTGGCTCGTTCCGTTAAAAAAAGCGCTACATTGCTTCCTCGATCATCACATTCACCGATTCCTACTGCAATGATACACAACGTCAAACGTTCGTGCGCGCTATGCAGAAGCGTGCAATGCGACTATCCGATGGCTGTACGATGATGATGATGATGAATGAGACGCCAGGGATCAGAAGCTGCAAGCTAGCGTGTCGCGTCGCTTCAAGTCCGATCAGGCGTCAGAAATTGCTGTTTATCGATCAGAATTTCATGAAACAATTCATTTTGATCTTGCTTCGCTCAGTCCAAGTGCCAATATTCAATTCGCAGCCCTCAATAGGGCTTCTTATTCTTGTCGATTTTGACCAATGAGAGAAAGATTTCGCGGCAAAACCTATAATCCGCAAATTCGCTGTACTAAGTACAGATTTTCGCGTTTGTGACGATGGAATTAACGACTTCCGTGCGTCTGGCATGCAATGACACCTTCTGTGGATCAATCATGGAAACAGTTGCTATACTGAGAGAAAAAAGTGTCTGAGAAATAAAAGATATTTATTCGATGGGTAGCAGCAGCAATATTTTTACCTATATATAGTGATGTAAAATATTTTTCAAAATATGCATTTCCTTATCTTAGCTTTTCAAGTCCAATCAGGTGCTAGAAATTGCTGTTTATCGATTAGAATTTCATGAAACAATTCATTTTGATCTTGCCTCACTCAGTCCAAGTGCCAATATTCAATTCGCAGCCCTCAATCCTCATACCTAGTCTGATAAGGGCTTTACTCCCTTAAAGTGAATCAGTAAAAATGTGTCTGATTGAATTAAATATATATATAGTTCAAAGTTACACAACTTATAAGACACTTTTTTCTCTCAGTGTAGCAATTGCTTCCATGATGGATCCATAGAAGGTGTCATTGCATGCCAGATGCACGGAAGTCGTTAATTCCACCGTCACAAACGCGAAAAATTGTATTTAGTACAGCGAAAGCAATTGTTCATTTTACTTGAATAAAAGAATTTAGATCCGAGTAAATATGTTATCAGTGCCTACCGAGTAAATATTTTTTTATTTTTTAAATATTTCTTCTCTCAGTATTGTATTATTAACCGAATCCTTCAGCGAGATTTTACTGATCGCAGCGCTTTACTTATAACATTGTATAGGTATAGCATTTTCGCGAGGAATACTTTAGAGAGTACTTTAAAGAGTGCAGTACCTGAAAGAGTTGATTAACGATCGATCCTTACGTCGCGAGAAATGTGACATCGCCCATTGTACATTTGATGTAGACTTGTCAAAAGCGCTCGAAAGTGTCCGCGTTAGGATGACAAGTGGAGGGCTATCAATTTCGCCACAACAAGATGGACAATGGTGTTGATGGTCGCACGATCGTCGGCAATGCGACGGGCTCTTTCGTCGCATCAATGAGTCTCCATTGGCCGGCGGCCAAAGCAGTCGGAAGCGCTATTAATCACGATTTCGCGATCATCTGGCCGCAGTTAGTCAATGTCGCGCGGATTAAAGTCAACCATTGGAAAAGCGACGCGCGTCGGAGCCAAGGTTAATTAATGCAGACAGGGTGAAAAGCGGCACTCTAAAATAAACCATCGTCGTGGCATGGTACGGGAGGACGCCACCGATCTTATCAACAGACAATTACATCCAACTGCGTATCGGACGATGTCACGTGCGGTGATAATTAGATTTGGCTACGTTGCTCGGAATCACCGACAATGTCGCGACAACTTTGACTTTGAACGCGTAAACGCTGAACTTGGACACGATTCTGTCGCATCTTCTACACCAAGAAGAAAATACTTGAAAATCTATTTGCGAGGTACAAAGCTCATTTCTCTGAGAAATAAATCTTATATCCCATAGATTTTCAAGTATTTCTTTTCATTGCACTGGAAAGAAATTACTCGAAAGTTTGTTTGTGCACGGAAAAAAAGGTTGAATTAATTAAATATCTGATCGAATATGAACGATCCGATATGAAATTCCGATTGAAGTAATCCGAATTCTATTTAAGTTAACAAGATTTTTGGTTAATTTAAACAGAATTCGGCTAACTTCAATTGGAATTCTGGATCGTTCATATTCGATCAAATATTTGGTTAATTCAACCTTTCTTTCCGTGTGGGATACAAAGTTAATTCTTGCGAAATGAAGTTTATTTCTGTGAATAATCTTTCTATCCCACAAATAAACTTTCAAGTACTTTTTCCTCGGTGCACTGAAAAAAATATTTCAGAATTTATTTACAAGATATAAAGTTTATTTCCGTGAAAAATACAGTCCATTTCAGCGAACAAACTTTGTGTGTCCTACAAATAAATGTTCGATTATTTCTTCTCAGTTCCGAGAAAGAAATACTCGAAAATTTGTTTCTGGGATACAAAGTTGACATTTCTGTGAAATGAAGTTTATTCCCGCGAGCAATCCTTATACCCCACAGATAAACTTCCGAGTACTTTTTTCTGTCTAATTGCGTTAGAGGTGGCGTCTACGCGATGATGCACTTGCGAGACGGCCTCGCACAAGCGGGAGGAGCGCAGCTCCATGCGGAAGAACGCGCGGGAAGTTGTCGCCGGTGCGATCGACCGGCGGATACAAAAATAAGAAGAAAAATTGATCTTCGCTGAGAAAGATGTTTATTTGTGTGCTCACAGAGTACAGAGACGTTCCCTCGGAAGTTCCGTCGCGCCTCCCTGCGCGATTCGCGCGGCGTATAATTCAACAAAAGTACAACCACACGTCGCCGGGGGATTATGAAGCAAATGCGTGAGTTATACTGCGCAAAGCGTGGTGCGTCGGTGCGCTAACGAGAAAAGCTACACAGTGATAAAGGGGAGGGAGTTCGCAGAACGCAGGCAACGATTACGAAATTTCTTCGACTCCCCGGCTTATTAAAGCGGCGCAATTAATGAGCGTCTCCGCCTCTCTCCTTCTCTCTTTCTCTGTCTCTCCGAAGGCTCCCCTGACATGCTCGATACCTCTTCGCTCGAACAATGAATGCGCGCGTTCCGCGGCCGGTGGTGTCGTTACGCTTAATTGGATATAAGTGCTATCTTCGAGCGTGCAACAAATCGCGGCATCGACGTGCACGTATTACGCTGCGGTTTCCATTGAAGAAAGAAGCAAAAAAAGAAAAAAAAAAAGAGTCAGAAGAAATAAATTCAACAAAATAAATTCAACACGCATACGAGAACATACACGTGCTCTCGAGCCTGCAAATTATCTCTCCTCACGATTTATCAGCGATTTGCGCGAGATTTGTCTCAGCCGAGAGCGGAGCAGTCGAGCTTTTGCCCTTCGTGATTGCGATAAGTGAAGTGATTCGTCAGCGATACTACGCGCGGTATTTCCATGTGTTTACGAAGCGAGCTCGCGCGAGTCCTCGCGCTTCGTCGACGGCGACGCAAAAACTCCCGGCCGAGAGCACGTTCCAACGCGACCGACCGACCGGGAACGCGACCAGCACGCTACGAGCACGCGCACATTCACGCATACACACACGAAACACGTGTCTTCTAGGCTCTTTACTCTTCCTGCTGGACGTCAGCCGCGTCTTCGCCGACGGCGGGTTGCGCCGACGCCATGGGCCGTTGGTTCTCCTTGTCGAGCTTCTCCGACGCACCTCTCATAGTTCCTCCTCCATTCACCGGCACCTCTGCCGAAAAGAACGCGGTGTCGCGGGTGTTCTCGGGGGAAATCGAGAGGACGAGACCTACGCGAGACCTTCTCCAATGACTACGACGACGATGACGAACTGGATGTGCGTGGAATCGCGTCTCGGGTCAGAAACTGAAGAGGAAGAGGAGATGATGGTAATGATGATGATGATAACGATGACGACGACGACGACGACGATGACAGTTGAGACGAGAGATCCTTGGCGAGCACGAGAATACGAGCGCGGAATTCGCGAGGCGATCCTCGCGCTTTGCCACTCCGAGGCGCTTTGACGTTTCTCCCTGCCAAAACTATGTTTAAAAGCGTACCCGCTCACGCACGAGGAGGCGCGTCTATTTTAAGCTGCGGCCGCTTTCCGAAATCCGCGCCACCTTTCTCCCATCCGCGAGAGATCACCCTCGCGGCCTCCAGCATCCTGGCGTGCATCGACCGAGGCATTGTCCAAGTTCCCGCGGCAAGGCAGTGCGAGTGATGATCCAAGTCTCTCACCTATGGGCTTTACGAGATCTCTCTGGGCTTGCTCCAAGAGAGTGTAGGTTGCCAATCGATTTGAACACTTTTTGTTGAATGTAGCTGCAACGCTTCAAATTGTCAGAACTAAAAATGTCACCACTGACGTGTACGCATAATGATCATGGCCGTAATGATCACGCGTAATGATTATGACAATAGCCGAGGTGACAGTATATTAAAAAAAGAAAAGTACTAGAAAACTTTATCTGCAAGATGAGTTAGCAGTGTCAGCAGTGGTTTTCAATTCTGACGGCTTGAATCGTTGCAACTCTTTTTCGATATAAAACGTGCGAGTCATCTAGCAGCCGAGTGTACACAGAATGGTTGCAAAACGGTTTAGACAAAACGCAGTTGGAAATTCACCAAACTGTCAAAATTCACTACGAACGGACTGACGCAATAATAATAACGTTAATTGCATTAACAATGCAATTAATAATAATAAATAATAAATGATGATGACAATAATTTTATTATTATTGTCTTATTATTACTGTTATAATTATGAATTATAATTAATACTATTATTATATTAATAATAGTATTAATTATAATTAATACTATTATAATTATTACTATTAATTGAGGAAATCCGTCGTAGTAGTGACTCCCAATTTTGACGTTTTATTGAGCTCCCAACTTTATTCTGTTCTAACATTTTTGTCACCGATTGTATGCTTGTGTTCCTCAATATGACAATGAAACTTTGAAACATTCGCAAACTGAGAGAGTCAGAGACAAGTTGGGCGCGACTTTTGAAATTCAGGGAAAGTCGGACAAGTATTTCCAGAAACGAGTGAGATCTTCGAAATAGAGCACCATCTGGCAGAGCGAGCTGTCCGTCTGACCTTTGAAATCTCCCGAGTCATTTTACGCGGCGCGAAAGACTCGCGAGAATAATTGCTGTTTATTCAGCAAGCGCTATCGCAGGATCGCGGGATCGCGCCGCGTTTGCCAAAAACTGAGAAATACTTCCGCGACGCTATCAGTCTGCCGGGCCGTCATCAGTTCCGCCTGAGTGCGACATGACGTTGAGGATGAGTTACGACGGGCAGGTGAGTGCATTGCGACACCTCGTCTGGCGGCAATATTATTTGGAGATGAGCTGACATCTCGAGATTCTCCAAAACAAGAAGACGCGGCACAAAGTGCCAGCCGCACTTTGGTTGAAACTCTCATCCGGAAACGAGCGTGCGTTCTCCGATCCTGAGACGAGGAGACCAACACCAAAGACGAGTCACCATCAGCAACCGAAATAGCGCGAAAAAAAAATGGCAAGCAGACGCTTCGATACTCAATCACGACTCGCGGATCCTCGATCTCGATTGTCAAGGCGAGACGATTTACGGCCATTACATCCAAAAATAGCGGACGACTGCTCATCGGGATCGCGTCTATTGTAGATATGAGACGGGTCACTGGGCCAGCTATCTCAATTTTCGGGAACGAATTGAATTCAATACGACCAGGGGAGAATCGATAACTCGGCGATAGAGGCTCGCCTGTCCGGGACGTGTGCATTGTTCGGCGGCGGCTCGGGGAAACCGCGAAAGTTGGACGGTTCAGCCCGTCATTAGCAGTTGAATCGACGGCTCCTTCAGGAAACAACGAACTCGAGGAGGAAATCGCGTGCGGCTGTCACACTGACGCGCGCTCACGTGCAGCACGTCCGTACGCCGACACGAAGACACTGTCGCCCACGAGACGATGAAACACGCGTCGCCTCGTCGGCGTGACGAGGCTATCAATCGGGCGCGAGGAACACGAGGAATCCGAGAACGCCCGTCGTGAGAGACCGTCCACGACGAAGACCGCAACACCACGAGAAGAAGGCGCGACCCACCTAACCACGCGCACGCCACCCCGCCGAGCTTCCGCCGATGTCCTGCGCAAGGACACCGAAACGTGTGTCGTCGTGTGCTCGTTACGATCCTGGCACTGCTGACTGCCGATGTGACACGACCTCGGGGAACCTCACGACTAACACACCGGCCAGCCAACGAACGGGATCAACCACGACGTGGCCGCCGGCTCTACCCGGGTCAGGTGTATGCGGCACTTGTTGATAGCGAGAGCCCCCGCGGATTGATTAGTGGACGTGCGAAGTTTCACGAGCGCAGTCGACTTCTCACGAGCTGCCCTATTGATTGCCGAAAGCCCGCTCCAGTTCAAACTCCGGTCCACACTCTTCTCTCCTCTACTCTCCTCACCTCCGCTCGCCTATCCTCTCCTCTCCTCTGATCTCTCACCAAGCGAGATCAGGCTAGTCCATTCCGAGGAGTGAAAACTTTCGGATTTCGATCGACGAGGAGCTCGGTCAATTTAGTTGCTGAATACGCGACTCTTTAGGTCCTTTAATTCCTTTGACCTTTTAACTCTCACTTCCTTAACTCCTTTGACATTTGAACTCGATCACTTCTGCTGACTGCACGGGAAAATATTATATGGGGCACATAATCAGAAATGTTGCGAGCAGCGTGGTTGCACCGCCTTAGTTATCTTTGTGTAACGGTAATGTGCATGGTTGATATGACTCGGTTACTTTGGTACATCGACTACATCAATGTAGTAGCGTGTGATATAGTTGTGGCAGTCAGAAATCGATCGGGGTGACATTTATCATGAGTATTACTCTGGTTGGTCGCGACCAGCTACTGCCGCGTCACTGCTGCAACGCCAGTGATTCAGCAATTGCTCCGTGATTGCAGCATCATATAATTAAACTTTCCATATTTTACTTATGAATCTGATTAGCACAATCAAATTTGGGTCGACTTTATCGTTTCTTTCGTGTACGACTGTTGTGTCTCTATCAACGTCCATCAAACCTTAATCCGAGTTGAAATTCTCTTCAGACGAAGAGTTAAACTCAGGTTGAGCTTTAATTGACGTTGGTAGAAACGGGCATGTGGCTTCGAGGTCTCTATATGACGACAGTCGCCGCGGTTATCAATAACCTACTTCGCAACAGCCGAGAGAGTCCTTAATTCGCGGTCGTCCTTCATTTATTATGTAAAAAAATGCAGGTTATTAACGTGCGAATTACCGTGCGAATTACGATATTCGCACGGTAGGTCGCCGGATTTTTTAGGTGTAAAACGTTATTAACGTTATTAACCTCAATCGAGATGACGACGGGAGCACGATCTCTAAATTTATCGGCAAACTGAACACGAAGCCGCGTTCTCCATACCGTAAAACGTATACGTTGGATTCCACACGTTACATGGATTATATATATATATATATATATATATATATATATATATATATATATATATATAAAGATATTGCATTTCGGAGAATCACGACACGATTGACATTTAGGAAGCTCGAGGTATCCGCGAGACTTTTAGGTTAAGCGCAGCTCAGAAATAAATTGCAAATGTAGCGAAGCGATCACACCTAATCGATCACGACTGATCGAAGATATTCACAGCACGTGTGGAACTTGTATTACTTATAAAGCAAAAGGAAAAATCGGCATTGTTATTACTTACCCAAACCGTCGAGAGGAACCGGCGCTCGACCAGATCGACGCGAAACTGCATCTTCACTCCGCCCGGTTATCACCGTGCCGATTACACGGCGATCGACGGGAATCGTTGCAAATGTGCGGCATCGTTAAATTTGGATCCGTTCACTCCGCGACACGCTGTCGCCGGCCGGCGAGGTGACCGTCATTCGACGCATCGTAACTTTCCAGGCAAAATAATGTCTAAAATCGCGACATAAGACGTCTTAAAGATAATCTTTAACACGCCTTAAAGACATTTATATGTAAATCATCTGAAAGACATCTTAAAAATGATCTTTAAAGCCCAATTCCACAACCTCTAATTAACTTAATTGACCGGTTATTCCATTGGACTTGACCAATCGCATTTAGCGTTAAGAAGAGTTAATTAGAATTAACCAATCATTGTTGAGACTTAACCGGTAGTCAGAGTTAAACGGAGGTTGTGGAACAGCGGTCCTATTCTCTAAATTTTTGCGTATACGTAAGTTTTACTGCGCAGCTATTTTATGGTATGATTAAACCTGCGCAAACTTACGTATACGCAAAAATTTAGAGAATAGGAGCCCTGGACCTAAGGCCAAGTTCCACAATATCCGTTTAATTTTAAGTACCAGTTAAGTCCCAATAGTGATTGGTTAATTCTGATTAACTCTTCTTAATGTCAAATGCGATTAGTCAAGTCCAATGGAATAGCCAGCCAGTTAAGTTGACTGGAGGTTGTGGAACTGGGCCTAAAACGTCTTATGTCCCGATTTTAGACATTAAGGTAAATGTACCAATGCCCGGACATGTACCAATCTCCGGACATTGTCATTATTTTTATATTTGAATATGAATATTTCAACTTTCAACGTACAATACATACATATTGGTATACTACTGTGTAAAAAGTAAGACCAATTTTCAAGTTAAATTGCGCGGGTATATCGAATGTCAGAAATATTTTTTTTCTAAATTGGTAGCACTGTGACAGACATCTGTGTCAAATTATGCGTCGTTTGTGTGAAGCTATTCGCAAAAAGAGGCCGGAATTGTGGAAAGACAACTCTTGGTTTTTGCACCACGATAATGTGCCATTTCACACTGCATTGGTTCATTTCGCTAAAAATTCGACCCATATCGTTCCACAACCACCATATTCACCTGATTTAGCACCGTGTGACTTCTGGCTGTTCCCTAAACTCAAAAGACCGCTCCGGGGACACCGTTTTGACTCGATTGAAGAGATACAAGCTGAATCGAAGAAAGCTTTGAAGGCCATTCCGGAAATCGACTTTAACAACTGTTTCGAGGGTTGGAAAAAACGTTGGCATAAGTGTATTGTGTCTGAGGGGGATTACTTTGAAGGCGACGAAATAGATTTGGAATAATAAATAAAGATTAAAAAAAAAAAATTTTAAATTGGTCTTACTTTTTGGACACAGTAGTACGTACATTTAATATTTATATTTAGTGTACGTTGAAAGATAAAATATTTAGAGAAATATTCAAAATAATAAGAGCGTCCGTAATTAGGTACGGAATTATGTCGGGCATTGGGACATTTACCTTACGTTGTCTGGGTTCATTCGGCGACTATCGTATGTATGTATGTATATACAGCTCGTCCGATCAACGGCGATTGTTCTGAACGTCAGGGCGCGTCGTCGCGACAGAGAAAGGGAAGAAAAAGAAAAGAGGAAAATAACTCTCGCGCTAATGATCACCATGACCGAGACCTCGACGGGGACAAAGGGCGGCGCGTATGTGACGCAACGCAGATATTAGACATTCAAATTCGGCTTCGTCCGGTTTCACGCTGCCACACCCCTCGTTCGTGATCTAAACGCGAGACCAAGCGATCTCAACCGGTTCGCGGTACGCGCTGCAGCTGAGCTCGTCTGGTATACACCAGATATTCCCGCTACCTGGTGAGTGTTTCGACTCATTCTCCGTAACGGAGACGTTTAGGGTTACATATGGGTTAAGTGCGATCGGTTATCGTCCGTCGCGACCCTCTCTCGTAGGATTTTACGTTCGCCAGGCTCTCGCCAGTAGATCGCCGATCGCGGAATTTCCAATGGGACGAGGAGGAAGGAAGCGCATTGATCCTCGCAGCTCCGGCTCTGAGCGTCCTGAACGAGATCTCGTTGCGCGCTAGTCAGAGAGTTCCAGTGAAGAAGCATGTGAGGTCTGTTCTTTTTAGCCAAACTGGTGCAACAAGTAAGACAAATATATTTTGTTTCGGTTCAGCTAAAAAGAACGGACTTTTTGTCTCGTTCTAACTTATTGCACTAATCCGCACCAGTTCAGGCGGTTCAGCTGAAAAGAACAGACCTCAGGAAGATGCTCCTCCGCGCGACGTTTAAATCCTTCCCTTTGGGAAATTTATAGGTTGAATTTCTGAATTTCTCTAAGTCAACGAGAGAACGTCGCGTAAAGTGACAATGACGGGTAACCAACGGAATATCTCCGGGGAGATTTGAAATCACCTGTCGTCGACCTGTCGCCACTCATACAGCAGAAACTTCCCATAGATGTCTCAATCCTCCGCGTATAATGTTGCGTCTTCGAGACTTGAACAAATATTCGATCGAAATTCGTCGAATTTCGTACTCTCTTAAAGTGAATCAGTGAAATATCATTGGAAGCAGTAAATATACACTGATGTGCAACTATAAGTACAGCACTGAAACTGCTCAGTGCTATACTTATAACTGATATCAGTGACTATTCACTGATTCGCTTTAAGAGAGTAAAGGGACAAATTTGAAAATAAATCTATTGACAGATTTTACGCCATTATACGCGAAGAACATCTGACTTCTTTCTTTTAATTTATGCTGTCTAGACAATTATCACGAAAGACGTCGACGCGGCGCGAAACGCCGAGCCGTCGAAGAGAGCCGATCAACCCTGAAGCCGGTACTGGTAGTCGCCGGTTTCTCTCGTTTCGCGAATCGTCCTGTGAATTCCGCATTGAAAAAGAACAGTAGTGCGTCGTAACTTATTCGCGCTCGGCGATCGAGTCGAGGGGAGGAGAAGGAAGGCGAGGAGACACAACGAGCAAACGTTACACGTAGGAGCAAAAAAAGGCCGTAGATGATGTCCGAGTCCGAGGTGGGGGCTTCGCTGCGCGGGCAGGAATATATAAATCGCGCACAGGTAGGGCTGAAATTCAGGTTGCCGCGGATACGTTCTGAGACTATCGGCAGCATACGACGAGCGATGCGGGTGAGTTTGTGCGCGAGACCTCTTCATTGTTTCATTGTCATTGCGTTTACACACCGCTCCGTCTACCTGACGTAGCGCCGCGTTAAGGCCTTTGCACGTCAGAAAGTCTTAACTACACTCTAAATTTCTTGGAGTGAGACTTCACTCCAAAGTAGTGAAAATTGCGCCAGTCGAAGTTAGAGCGAGAACTTCACTCCAAACGAGTGAAAAAATTGCTCGCTTGGAATGAGTTCTCACTCGTTTGTAGTGATTTTTCACTCGTTTGGGGTGAAATTCTCGCTCTAACTTCGACTGGCGCAATTTCCACTATCTTGGAGTGAAGTCTAAGAAATTTAGAGTGTAGAGTGACGAAAATGAACTTCACTTTATAGAAATCAAATTTAAATCCCACAAATAAAAAAATGTTCAAGGCTTTTTTCTCAATGCGGGTCAATCATGCGGGAAGCGCGTTGTCAAATCGAATGGAAGAGTTCGAAGGACGCTCTGCTTATCGTTCGAATATCAAATCGTAAAGGCGTTTGCACGTCAAAAAGTCTTAACCGTAATCGTAATTCCGTAAGTTTTTAACACAATTAGACAGAACAACGCAAGTGAAAATTCGTAATCGTAAGGCTGTATATGAATTTTCACTTGCTACTCTGTCTGATTGTGTGTGTTAAAAACTTACGGAATTACGGTTACGATTAAGACTTTTTGACGTGCAAAGGCCTTTACGATTTGATATTCGAACGATAAGCAGAGCGTCCTTCGAACTCTTCCATTCGATTTGACAACGCGCTTCCCGCATGATTGACCCGCATTGAGAAAAAAGCCTTGAACATTTTTTTATTTGTGGGATTTAAATTTGATTTCTATAAAATAAAGTTCATTTTCGTCACTCTACAAGTAAATTGTCAAGTATTTTTTCCTCACTGTGTTTATCTCCCGCGATATAAAAAATGTCCCTTTCCACATGTTTCATTGGACGCTGCGAACGCTTTGAAGCGCTTCAAGGAAAACCACGATTAGTTCGTACAACGCCTCAAAGCATTTGCAGCGTCTAACGGATCGCATCTAAAGTCCAAGTTGGAGATTGCTCGAATTTTCTCTCATTTATCTCGACCTACATATACGTTATTGATCTCATTATCAGGAAATGAGAGTTTCCTCTTTGTATTTTTTCGATTTTTCTGTTCATTTCGTACAAATAATGCTAAAGTCCTTCGGATTGTTCCGTTCGATTCGACAGCGCGCTTCCACGACTGACCCTCGTTGATTCCCCGCGATGTTGAAAAATTCCCTTTCTACGAAATAAAGTCAGTTTGCAGTTGGAAACTGCTCGAGTTTTCGTTCATAATCGGGAGATGAAAATTACCGTCGTGACTTTTGATTCGCCCGTTCGCGATGCATGAATAATGCCAAAGCTAGCTATAAATAGACGAATCCTTGATGTATCGCAGCTGTTTATATCTCGCGGTAAGCCATCATATATTAATAGAACGTCGTGGTCCTATATCGTTGACGTAGTCGCGTCTGTTTTCGCGGAAGGTAATTTCGTCCTGCCTACAACTGATCGATCATTCGCATGCAACGCGTGCGACTGTCCATCTTCGAGCACCGACGAGACAAACGTCCACGTCGTTGCGAGAAGTCATTGCGCCCGCGCGTATTTCTCGTCTACGTTTTCGAGAGGAACAGCGAGCCTCTCGAGACGAGACGAGAAGAAATATTCCACGTTGAAAAAACACAGGATTCCGTTAATTCCGCGCCTGCTTGAACTTGACACGAGCTGTCAGCTCCTCGACACTTGCTTCTCTTTGCAGGTTCACACGCGGTTCGTCGTGTTCTTCGTGACGGTGACGGCGATGGCTGGCACGGCGGTGTCGAGACCGTTATGGTCGACTTTAGCCGGCGATAATTACTTGTATCCGACGAGCGAGGTCAACGCACAGCCGCAGTATCTCCCAGCGTATCAAAGCGCGCATTCACCTTATTACGTCTACAATGTATCGCAGATATCGTACAACACTTAACGTCCTCTCACTCATCTTGCACGATACCTGCAACGTGTGTTACGCGTGTTTTCAGGTTCACGCGAGCGCAGGAGGCGTACCGACCACCATCTTCGCCGGCGGCAAGCCGGAAGTCTCGCAGATCCCCGCGTACGGCTTCTACTACGGAATGCCGATCTACGACATAGGGATCCCCTTGAGTCCGGTAAATTGCGATTTTCACACCCGAAAGAAAGCGTAGTCCTGCACGGAGATCTTCTGTATATCAAGAGGATTCCTTTGAAATCAGAAGGGAAATACTCTACTCTCTAAGTTTCTCGGAATGAAATTTCACTCGAGCAGTGGAGTCACTCGAATTCGAGTGATTTTTCACTCATATAGTGAAATTTTTAGAGTGAATTCTCTGAATTGTCGAATGCATATTTTCACTCGACAATGAAGAGTGAATCTGATGTGTCTCACTGTTACAAAAAATATGGGATTGCAGGAAATAACAGCTTAGAATTTTTTGAACGTTAGAATATTTTCCTTTTGGTTTTAGAAGAATTCTCTTGAAACCAATATTAATTATAGATCATTCCGTTAAGAATGAGATCATATCTTTAACCAAATTTTGTCCGCAACTTAGTTTGCATTTCACCCAACTAGAAATGTGTTCTCATAGTCCTTTGGTCAGGTTGATCCCAAGCAGTTATTCGGTTTGTACAAGACTATCGGGTCCTGATTAATCATGCAACGCAGCATGGAAATCAAATCTTACTAATAATTATTATATACTTCTAATTATCTAATTATCTGATTATTGTTATTCTAATTACAAAAAATCAATCATATGTACGATTAATGTGCCGGTATTATTTTAGGTTTATCCTGTGCTGACACTTCCTCCCAGACCGCTACTTCCGCCAACGTCGACCCAGAAACCAATCGACGTAGACATCGACGACGACGGTATCGAGAAGTTGGATTCGAAAGTCGACTCGGAGACGAAGAAGCCGGCGAGTAGTAGCGAAGACAGAGATTCCATAACCGTGGAAGCGATATGAGATCATTTTCCTCGTCACGCGCGGTAATGAATACGTGGGTGGAATAGAGACTTAATTGCGGGACGACGCGTGCCCGATGCGTTTGCTTCCTCATACTTCGTTATATTTTGATATTCACGCTATGTTACGCTGTATGACTTATTCCGAGACGTGAGGGGTTTTCTCGACCAGCTCTTTATTCTGACTGAAAGCTGCGCTCTTGAAGATTCCGTTTGCACGCACAAATAGGAATGTATCGTCTGTAATAAACTGATATTTTAATGCGCCTTGCAAGTTTTATCGACCGATGCCTCGACTGCCAGCGGAAAACCGGTCGCGGCGATTTCGTCGTGAAGAAGAACATTTCTTGTACTGATGCGAACTTTGTACGAATTTTAACGAATAAGCCAACCCGATTGAAAGATGTGCGTACATTACAACCAAACTTCATGTTAAAATACAACTTTTCTCCAGGTATACTTCTAACGCGTACTCGTCGACGATCTTTCCCGGCGTCTTACGGGAAAGTCTATTTGTGGAGTTATCAGCGTCCCGCAGATTCGATATCAGCTCAACGAGATTGACTTCTCGCAACCGATGAATCCGTCATTGTTACAAAAAGACGCCGAGATCCCTCACCCCGGAGGAGGAAACGCGAGATAAGGCGCGGTCAAAGATGACCAGAGGTTCCCCAGGCGCACCAGTGCGTCGATTTCCTCGGACACGCATACCGATAATCTCGCGAGAATGATCGTTTGCCGTGGAAGACCATGGGCGATCGCCACATTCGTCCTCATCGCGAGCGTGTCGGGGTCCGTGGAATTTAGCAAGCCACCGGCCACCCCGAAGCTCTCACCTCATCTCACCAGACCGATGATGACACGCTCGATAGACAAACTCCTCGACGACGAGGAGCTTACTCCGCGCTACTCCGCGTCCCCCAATCGCGTCGGAGACATCTACAGAAGCTCGACCCTCCGAAGAAATTTCGTTCCGAGCAGGAATTACTTCGTGTACCCGAGAAGCCACGAGCGTCTCGCGTCCAGGAACAGCCCAGAGCAACCCCGTGCGATCAGGTACAGGAGGTACGTCGTGCTCTCGCATCTGCCAAACGCGACGATCGATTGGCCGGGCAAGGCCTCGCAGAACGGCACCGTGACGAGGATACCGCTGTACAACGCGCACAGATACTTCATTCGCGATATTCCGCAGAGGGTTGCTCATCGCGAAGAGCCCATATCGTCGTTTCAGACCGATGATCCTGCGAAGGAGACGCAAACTCTCGCCTCGTCGAGCAGAAGACGAAGAAGTCCGACGACCGCTGTCGACGATCAGCCCTGGCGGAAGAACGTGAGCGATTATTACGCGGAGCGGAGAGCCGTGATGGCGAGGTTCTACGCTCGTCAGCGAGAAATGGAAGCGCGATACGGCATGAACTCCACCTCGAAGCCCGACAACGCCGCGGCGCCGCGGAACGAGTCGGTGACGAGCGACGTCACCTTGTTTCGACTGTATCCCAGCAGGAACTCCAACCTCACGGATAACAGAGCGACTTTTCGCCAACCGGCCATAACGATCGACCCGGTGTACGCTAATCTGCCGGCCAAACTGGACCGTCGACCGGTCGTGCAGGAAGCCGACCGTCGCTTCCAGTCCCGCTCGTGGAACAACAGCAACGTCGACGGACAGGTCACCCGGTATTACACCACGCCTGCTCCTTGCGCGAACGCGTCGTTGTCCGGCACTCTCGCGCCGAAGAAGCGATCCAAGACTGTGGACAACGACGAACAGACGACGGTGATCGGTCGCACGCATAATGTAAGTTTGATGAAAAGGAAATATCACTTTGAGGTCGTCAGACCTTTGGCCTTTGGCCATTGACATTAACGCAGAGAAATGAAGAGACTCGCTGAGCAAAAGAAGCGTTATCTCGCGCTATCTTGAGATTAGATACTTGGGCGTTTTTGTACCCGAAAAATATTATCTCTTTTAACGAAAAGAAACAATATTATGCTTAGAGTTCTTTCTTTCTTATAATTAAAAAAAATCTCTTAAATTCTTAATATATAAGAAGATTCCATTAAGGATAGGATTATATTTTGTTGGGTAATTTGCGACTCGTTTATTACGTTTGGTCTGTCGTATCGCGAATTGTCTGTCATAAATCGTACGATTTGTTTATCAGAACAGCAACGGGAGCGACCATGTGATTTGGGGGCCGTGCAAGGGGAAGGTGGTGTACCAGCATAACTTGCTCCTGGGACTGAAGGGTCCTTCTACTCTCGATACGATGTTCGAGGTGATTATTCAAGGTCCCGTGTGCATCACCTGCGTGGAGGCCTTGCGATATAACGAGACCAAGGCAAAGGTCACGTTTGAGTCTGGCGGACGAGGCTACGACTACGTGAAGCTCAAGTTACAAGGCTACGAAAATGAAGGGTTCTCGTATATAATAAAGGTCTGGGGTATCAGAAAGTTCGGTCCGGATTGCAGTAACATGTAGCCGAGAGTATTGAAACTCGGAATCTTTGGACTCTGAATTAGCAAAGAATTCTCTGAACTCTAAAGGATTTTACTCTTACACCCATGATCTCAAAAGAAAATTCCTCTAAAATTAAAAGGAAAATACTTCAAGCACGACATTCTTAAAGTTAGAGGAATCTGATCTGACGATACAAGTCTTACTTGCCGCGCCTTTCGTGTCGCGTGTAAGAAGACATTCCGTTTCAAGAGAGTAAACATATTTCCCTTAATTTAAAAGGAGAAAAAAGTTTGAATAATATCTAGTAGATTTCCAACTAATAGCCTTCTTCATTAGAATTCTCATTAGAATACTTTTTATCAGAACTCTTTTGGTTTTTGCTTAGAATATCAGATTACAGCAAGTGGCATCTTGCCAATGGAATTCCCTTTTAGGTACAGACTAATAAGTAAGTAAATTCGTTTCTTATTGAGAGAGAAAGAGAGAGAGAGAGAGAGAGAGAGAGAGGTTCGAGGACGCCATCAACGCTCTGTATGTATAGAAAAATCTTTAATATATAAAAACATTGCGTGCCTCATAAATCTATCGACGTGTCATGTAACTTGAATAAAAATCCGCTCAGTCCGCAGCTTACGACAATAATAATGGAGGAGCGCGGTCTCGCGCAAACTTAAAAGCGAGCCAGTGCACAGAACATAAAGTGCATCGCGAAGCGAATTCGAAATTTCGTGGGAAGAGAAAAGGACACGAGCGCGCGAGTTGCTAAAATAATTCTGAGCCGCCCTCCGCCGATTTGACGTCAATAATAACGGCCGGCTACCATAACACGCGCGAACGAAACTCTTGAACTTTATCGAGCATCGGCGCGCAGATTGGAGATTATTTCGAGCAACGGGCGGCCAAAGTTCACCGATATAATGGCGTGACCAATGTACTAAATGCCAACCGATTGACCGCGCATGCCGGCGGCACGGGCGCCGGCACTGGAGGACCGATATTGTCCCTCAACACGTAACAACGCGGACCCTGTACTTCCCCCCGGAGGAAGGGGAAAAATAAGCGGACAATAAGAAAGAAACGAAGCCTCACGGCATATCGAATCGCCGTCCGCGACCACTCGCGCCTCTCTTCGTTCGCTCGTTCGTCGCGACTCGACTCTCAGGACTTCACCTCTGCCTTGGCTCTCTCAGGACTTCTTCGGCACGGAGGTGGGCAGAGGCGGCGGCGGCACATCCGGTATCTTGTCCTTCTCGTTCTTCGGCGGACTCGCCTTCTCCTCGTGGAAGCCCGGCAGCAGGTGGCCGGACTCAACGTTCCTCGGCGTGGTCGGCGGGATCGGCTCCAGGGAGCCGTACGGCTGATAGTCGACGTAGTAAGTTCCGGGCACGAGGTGCGGGTTGAAGCTGTTGTACGTGTAGATGTACGGCTCGTAGTAAAGGGAATGGTAGTTCGGGTAGAAGCTCAACGGCACCTGCTGGTTCTTCCTCGGGGAGTCCTTCGCGTCGCCGTTCTCCTTCGGGTTGCTCTCCTGCGGCTCCTCGTTCCTCGGGCTGTCCTTCGCGCGATCCGCGTCACCTTGCTCCTTCGCGACGCCGAAACTCGTCGACTCTACGAAACGAGAGCTCGAGCTGGCCTGCGTCTGATCGCTTCCGGGTGGTTTCCCGCCACCGGCCGGCGGATAATGCACCACTTCCGGCCCGGCGAAGTGAGGCGCTATCTGCGTGTAATAGAACGGCGGCACGTAACCGACCGCGGTGCGATGTATCACCGGCTGTATCACCGGGAATGCTCGCGAGGGCGATAGATTCTGATTGCTCGTGATCACGGCATTGTACACCTTCGGCACCCTGAGGAGACCCGGCGCGGCGGCCGCGACGGTGATCAGCGCGCAGACTATCGGCAGCTTCATCTGGAACAGGCGCGCTCTCATTAGAAAATTTAACATCCAAATGGAGGAAGAACTCTCGTTGCGAGGTGCTCCTGCAATTCCAGATTCTAAACGAGATCAGACGTCTCATATATCAAAATTATGAAGCTGTACAACTTCTCAGACAACTAATTATTGTTTCACAACTAATTACTGATTACACAAACATGATAGAGCCTATCTTCTTTTAAAGGCAGCAACCAGATCACACGCAACTGGATTGATGTGGTTGATGTACCAAAGTAACTGAGTCATATCAAACCATACACATTACACACAAAATGACTGACCTGATGCGATTTCGTTACTCACAACCAAATATCCCTGGCTATGTGCATATCTTTTTTTCCGTGTATCAATAAATTCTCTTATAATGTTATTACCAAGGAGGAGCTTTAATGTTATCGGCGAGAGATAGTTCGCAATAAGCAATAAAGATCTCGGTGCCCTCGGGAGCAGCTGCGAAGCTAAATTCTTGCCAGCGAAACGCGACTCAACAATCGAACGTCCGATTGCATGTGCAAGCGCCGGATTACACGTGTATTGGAGAATTGTACTGCCGTGAGAGAGAAGACGGGCGTGTTCTCTGCCGTCCGTGCGTGAGTGAGTGTACGTATGCGTACGTGTGTGGAAGCGGCCGACACCATTATTGTTTCTGGAAAGGTAGCGGACCACGCCGGTGGCGCAAGTGTCTCGCGATGTATGAGTGCATACAAACGACTCGAAACACGCGTGCACAGAATGTTACCCCGGCTCGCGCTCGCGTTTATAGGCGTGTACTCGAGAGATCGAGTTATCGCGCCTAGCGGATTCCAATCGTGTTTGAAGTTCAAGCTCCCAGGGTAACGGCTAAGCAGGCGTTACAAGGCCACAAGGTGCCCCGCACACCCAACAAAATTGCGTCGAAACGAGCCTTTAATCTCACTCACGCCGCATTGTCCTCGTTTGTATACAATGGGTCGCAAAATGAACACGAAGTTGCATGGAAAAAAAGTTTATTGGGATTAAGTAAATTTCTGGTTCATTCATTAGGAATCAATTAATCCCACCAAAATTTGCTTCCCGTATGAGACCTTACTAAACTGTCATATTTGAGTGTCATTATTTTGACGAGTTTGTCCGGTAATTATATGATTAATTATTGTTATTATTTATAATGTTCTAATTATTATATCGTATGAGCTTGTCTGTAATAATTCTTAATTTTGATAATTTGGTGTGCTTCATTGTGTATCGTATTGCTAGTCTGCAATCTATAGTCGGCTGATTAAGGATAGGATCCACTTGTAGTTACAAATGCTTTGAAGCGCGTAAAGAACGATTATGATTGGTCTGCACGACGCTTTGAAGCATTTGCAGCATCAAGTGGATCATACCCTACTAAGTGTAGGGGCGCTTGAGTTTTGCAACGCATAATTATTTCTCTATGTGATGTGACAGTTACAGATATCTTCTCAGTATACTAAAAAGTAAATTCTCCTACTGAACACAGGATACGTTACGAAGCTCATCCCAAAGTGTTGTTGCTGCTAACTTTAATCAGCCGACTGTATTGTATACAAGAGGATCGTCAGTGGTCGATCAGTGAGAAGTGAGTAACTCATGAATGAACTCGAAATTCGAGCGCGCGCTCTGGCTTGAACCTTCGTCGTTGCCCGCGCAAGACGCGCGACGCTCGCGGGCTCGCGCCTTATCATCGCATTCGTCGGTCGATCGGCATCGAATGTTCGGCACCCAGAGAGAATCCTCCGAACGTCGCACAGAGAAGGCTCAAAGAAGCACGCTCGTCGGTTCCCGTCGCGGTGAGAGGTCGAATGGACGCGCGGCCGCGGCGACGCGTGGCGTTGCACCGGTGAATCACCTCATCAGCATTCGCGACTTCGCCAGCTTCGTCGGTTTCGCACGTATCACTTCCTACCTCCGGCGAGGTGCTCCTACGGTCACGTTCCTCACCCTGTCGAGGCGTCCCTCGGTTCTATCGAAGTTATACGCTCCTCTATCGGCGAGCGACGTTTCATCCGAATCTCAGCTGAGTTTCGCGCGTACTCTTACTCACCGTTTGGTGTTATCAATTCCTTCTTCTTCTTCTTTCCTCTTTTTCCTCTTCTTCTTCTCTTCTGCGCGCTTCCTGTACGTAAAGCCGGGGGGGATATCTCCGAGAAGCTGACACCAAGTAGCAAGAGCGCTGCATGGGCCCGTAGTATATATGGCCCATGGGGTTCCAGGGTTCAAGTCCCACCTCCCCCACTACGGGCGACTCTCGGCGAAAGTACTCTCCGATCGGTACTCTATAATGTCCAACTTCGGGCCAGCCTGTATCGCCGGTAGAACTGTAGAAAGACAGCCGTTCGCGATACGCCTCCTTCGCGCGATGCATCGCGAACGCGATCAGCGATACGTCCAGGAAGGAGGACGACGACGCATCCGGGAAAATCGAGATTGCGCGAGACGTTTCCGAGTCTCAATCATGAGGACAGTTAACGACGTTCTTATGTAATTGGTTACATAAGAACGTGCCTATGATCGCGTCCTAAACTTCACGGAAGGACTCATGTTTACCTGATCCAGACACGAATGTCTGATCCGTTCGCGGTGGGACATTGAATTTGTACTCTCGATTGAAGTCAAATAATACTGTCACGCGAGTCGCGCTATCATTGCCTTCGATGATTGATGACAGTCCGTGGCGAGATGCAGCGTAAAATGCGAGCGAGCGATCTGGTTTACGCGCGAGTGCTTGAAAAACGAGAGAACAATGAGAGTCCTATATATTTCGTTACACAAAGAGCACTGTCAATCATCTCCGACGTGTCGATCTAAGCTGTTGTTCTTTCCGCGAGACATTCGATCGGAACTAGTTGACACGTACTAATCACCGACCTTTCCAACCGAGCATACATGTCTTTAGGTTCATAAATAAGCTGATGATAATGCAACGATCTCGTCGCATGCACACACGCGCGCTAACAGGGCGGTTCACCTTGAAGTATTGTTTCTTAATTCACGTTCTAATTGCGGAGGTTGTTGCGCACTTGCCGTCGATACATAGTGCAACCTTGTTGCATACATGGAAATCTACAAGCGGAAAGAATAAATTAATTATTGTAAAAATTACGTGAGAATATCGTGTCTTGCGATATCAACGTGATTTAAGTCTCTCATATTTTTTATTTATATCCCAGCTCTATAGACGGAAAGGATATTATATTTTTTCTTTACATATAATAAATTCTTCTCAATTCTACTGTGAGGCAGAAGTAGACTGTCAGTAAAGTCTATCTTGCTAAGAAATATAATCGCTTGCTAAGAAATATAATTTCGCTAGAAACATAACAAATTTTTTACAATTTAATTCACAACACATTTTAGTTCCTAAAATAGAGAGAGAGAGAGAGAGAGAGAGAGAGAGAGAGAGAGAGAGAAAGGAAGAGAGTTCAGTCTCTACACGAAGAAAATTTTATAATAAAAATTACTTTAGAATTTTGTAACCGAGGAATAGGTCGACATTCTGTCATAATTGACGATCCTTTCATTTCGTATACTTATATTTTAAGAACTGTGAAATACATTGTTAAAAATTTTGTTATATTTTTAGCGAAATTTACTGTGTTCCTTAGCAAAATGGACCTTACTGACAGTCTATTTTTGGATTACTAAAAACACAGTAAAAAGAATTTATATGAAAAGAAACTGCAATATTCTCTCCATCCGTATGTATAAGTGATATAAATGGAAAGATAGTCGTTTGTACTGCGGGATATCAATCTATTCCTCTGTTACAAAATTCCACAGTAATTCCTACTATCAAATTTTCCTCGTGTATGGTTTACGACTACCAGCGCGGCAACGGCGCGAGTGTCCGAGAGAAGTATTTAAACTCCACTCAGGACACCTTCGATCGAGTGTCGAATCGTCAGTGTCGAATCCTGACCTTCTGCTCTTGCACGCTGTCGTTACATACAAGTGCGCGTCGAAGGAGGACGATTGCGAAAGGATCCCGCGCGAGTCGCGCAATAACATCCAGAATTCCATCCGTGCGCGCACACGAATCGACCAGACAGGCGGACAGGACGAAATGAGTGTTTCGTTGGTATTCAATGAGACCGTGTGTAGATTGGTAAGTCAATGCATTTCATCCTTTTCGGCGTACATACGCAGAGGAGCAGTGTGCGCACGACGACGACGTTCTTCCGCGTTATTCGCGCTTCAACGAGGGCGCGACAACACGCTCGGCCATCTCAGTATACATTTGCACACGATCGCAAATCTGTTACCCAACAGATCTGTACTGTACAGTTATTTACTACATTGTTGACGGCTTCTCGCAGGACGCGAATTCGCAGCCGCGCGGTTGGCTTGAAATTCAGTCAAGCGACAAAAGTCTCTCGGATGGAATCGCGTCCGACTTCAACATTCGTTTTCTGACTACTCTCGATCGCAAACGCAATCCTGACGCCTCACGGTACCGTGAATATTTTGTGATCTCCTCCCGAAAAAAAAAAAGGAAGGAATCATCGATCGGCGTTCTCGATCTCGAGGTCAGATCGACTCGATCGGTATGTAACACATTCTGCGCAGCAGCAAAATCGGGAAATTCGGCAGGAAGACGATCATCAGCAGCACCAAGGGCGACAGCAGCAGCAGAATGTTGGCGTACACCACCAGCCACCAGATTGGCGACGTTCCCAGAACCGGCTCTAGCATTATGATCCTCCACCGGTCAAGAGATCGAGCACACGAGCATGAGAACGCGAGCCGGCGCGAGACACTCGCGCGAATGTTCCGTGCTATCCGGTTTTAAGGAGGTGAAGCACTCGCCGCACATGGTCGATCTTTCATCGTCCGATGCGCGTGCCGATGGGCTGGAAACAAAGGAGAATTTCTCAGTTACTCCGTCCTCATCCGTGACATGCGCCGTGAAAAATTGATAATTTAAGTAAAAGAATTAGTGTCCAATTCCTGGACACTAATATCTAAGGGAGAATTCGCACCCTGGCAGCAAAGCAGAAAGACTGAAGTCAGTCAGAACTCGCACTGGTGATTAGATGGTAATCAACATCTGCTTTTTCACCAGGACCAAAGTTCTGATTGACTTTCGTTTTTTGCTTTCTACTTTTCTGCCAAGATATTAATTCTGCCTGATTCTGGACATTCTTGTTGTTTTGGTCTTCGAATACGAATATTTCAATCTTCAGCATAGAATATATATATGCCGTGAAAAGCATTTTATATTCGTATATCGAAAACGACACATGTAGAAATTTTTGTGTTGAATTTTCAGCATATCAGCATTAATTCAACGTACTGTCGTTGCGTTATTTTATCTATTCTGCGTTGTATTCAACACATTTCTAAGTTTTAATGGTATGGGTATGGGTATTATAACGGTTTATAATATGTATCTTGGTGAAATATATTTTATATGTGAGATGTACACGCAGATCAATTGCGTCATTTATTAACATATTTGGCGTGTGTTAAATTAACGCAAAGATTAAAATGCATAAATGAAATATTTTATTTTAGAAGTTCCAATTCGTATTTAAAGATCAGAGCATTGAATGTCTGGATTAAATATATGTCCGGGTACACATTGGTACTTTTACTTAAGTAATTTATAATCAATCTGCGTGATTAATGCTGCACTTCAACATAGCTCATATGTATTTATGTCATACGTATTCAATATATTAAAATTGAACGGCAAGAAAGCGTAGTTTAATAATCACTCTTCGCTGTCTTATCCTTCTGTTGCTGACACCCAAGTAGAGTCTATTTTTCTGGGCTATTAGCTCGGCAGTCAATTAATCAGGCATATTAAACGGTCTTTTGCACTCGCGCGAGTGCATTTCTAAGCTAAAACATTCGTCGTCGCACGAACACCATTGTCGCATTGTTATCTAATCGACTAAAAATAGCGGAAAATGATGTGTCAGTTGTTCGTTACGTTTATCCAGAGCTCACCACTTATCGATCGCTAATTATGTAACAAACCTGCACTTCGCGTATAATGATTGTGCAACTGCAGCGCGCGCGATGTACTAAAATTAAAACGCCTCGAAAAGCCGTTCTCTTTCTTATATTTTAAAAGTGCGACAACTGCGACGCCACTGCGACAACTTTTTTTTGCTCACCTGCGATTTATTGTTAATAAGGAAAACAACGTCGACAAAAATAAGATAAACACGAATAGAGCGACCGCTTCAGCACAAACAACGTTTTTTCGTTGTCGCGCGTTATTTAAATGAGATGACGTCGCGTTATTTAAATAAATTTTATAACTATGCGGAGAATTTACGAAAAAATAATCTATAACTTTAAAATAATCTATATCTTTTCTTTAACTTGCAGCCTCTCTATCTCTCTCTCTCTCTTGCTTTCTCTTTTATTCTTGTTTTCTTCCTTCATTATACTATAATTATTTCCTTATTATTTTTTGTTATCTTTCATATCTTATTACCAGCATTACGATACTTCCAATTAAGCTTTTTATCGTCTTTCCAATGCGCGATTACATTTCTTTATTTATTATTATTAAGATATTTTTATTTATTATTATTAGAGTTTGTTCTGTTCTCTTTATTTTTTCATCTGTAATTTTATATGATTGCGTTATATCTGCTACAATGTTCTACTTTCTTTCTCTTTTTCACTATACTTACACTACACACACACACACACACACACGTACTGTACTCCTACTACTGTATACCTGAAGGGATCTTATCTCAGAGCTTAATAAATCTATCTACCTTTCTCTGTCTTTCTTTTTCTCCTCTCTCCCACGTTCTGTCAAAGTTACAAGCTTGTCCTTGTCCACAGAAAGTAGATTCATCCCGCTGCAGACCTGTTGGGCAAGCTCGCGCGGTGATGCGAAATCGAAGACGATAAAACAACGTCAACGAGAAAAAAGAGAGAAGGAGAAACGGCGGAACGGCGAGCAGAGCGGACAATGTCCAATGCGAAAAATCGTTCCAGTATCCGCACGAGGCGCACGCGATATCGCGAAGAGGATGGCCGCTCGCGTGCGCCCGGCTCGGCCTATTGCATTCGAGAAAAGTGAAATTTTCGCGATTGCGTAAGAGCAGGTATAATACTAGCATTTTATGCGCGGTACAAACAGCGGCGTCATCATACAACGCAATCTAACGCGTAACGTAATATCAATGATCAAGCGTAACGAGATAAGCAGCTGCGTTTTACAGAGACAGCTTAATCGCAAATTGTTGCGTAAACACAGTATCGTGACGAACTGGATCGCCCGTTGATGTTTAAGTAAGCAAACGAGTTCCGTCCGTTCGGTGTAATATATTTCTTTCAAGGCTTTTTGCTAGGCGGTAGGAAGAAAAAGAGAGAGAGAGAGAGAGAGAGAAGGGGGAGAGAGAGAGAGAGAGAGAGAGAGAGAGAGAGAGAAAGAGGGACAGACAGAATTAAACCAGTTAAAAGAGAAAGAAAGAAAAAAAGAATATAATTTCCAATAAGTCAACGTAGTTATTTATTGTCCATTACTAGATTGAAAAAAAGATATCGTCGCTGTATCATTAACATCACGCGCCATAAATTTCTGTTTACAAAGCATTAATAAATGTTGGCAATTTTATCAGATACAAAGCGATATTCTTACTATCAGGTCATTAAGCGCTTACATCGCCTTTTACTCACGCCGAGTCTATATATCTCGAGAGCTCTCTGCGCGTTCAAATGTTAAAAACGACCCGCGAACTCGGCAGGTATAAATGTCAACGCTAAAGCACAGCAGAACTATGTCTGTGCACAAAACGGGAAAAACGTGTTCTAACGTAACGCGAAATTGCGTTCCCGCCGCGAACGAGACGAGGCATCGAGAAATATAGGTCAGTGCATAGATTGCGGGTCACTCCGTGGCGCCGAGGAACTCGATTTTTAAGGACTGATATTAAGGAATTTCAGCTTTCAACATTTCTCTTACAAATACGTAATCACGACATGTATACGCAAGCAAGGTCGGGCAGGAAAGAGTTGCGTACAACCAGATTCGACAAAAACAGAGTGACATCACGTCCTGACGCAAAACAGACATTAACGTAGAAAACGAGGGAGAATAGGAAGAAAGAGAAGAAGAAGGATAAGGGATGAGAAGAAAAGAAGAAGCGGAATTAGTGCCAGTCGGTCACGGTGCAACCAGCTCGAAGACACGTGCCAACGGTGGGACCGTGATTACCTACCATCTGCTATCCCGACAACTTCCAAGCTCCGCGTTGCGGAACCGCGTGTTGCATTTGCACCAGGACTCCCCGGCTTGACTCTATCCTGTCGCGGTGCGCACACCGCGGCGCATCCTCGCGCCGACACACTGGGTGTCGCGACCGTCGTGGAGAAGCGCGTGCGGCTGATAATCCCGGCTGATCGGCATACGCACGCACGCACGCACGCATGTATACACGCATGCACGCACACGCATGCAGGCAACGCGCGGAGACACGCAAACACGAAAAACTCGGCGGTTCCCCCCGCGAAGTGTTGATGCACGTTATTGCTATTGTTATTGTCGCTGTCGGCGCAGTTGCAGTCGCTGCTGTTCGTTACTGCGAGCAGGTTCGCGATGCGAGCAGGCGCGCGCTCGCTTTCCGTGGACTGAGGAGAGCGCCAAAGTTCGCGGCCAGTCTCCAACGGACTTTCCCTTTCTTTCGGCTCTTTAGGCGACCGGCGGCGGCGTGTAATACCGGGACGGCTATGTTAAGTCACCCGGTTACGCGCGAGCAGCGTGAAGCGAGCGAGCGAGCGAGCGCCTTACCTGCACCTTACCTGCGCCGCGCGTCCTCTCGCGCTTGCGCGCGCGCGCGTCGGTTGGATACGCGTGTGCGTCAACCCGATGGCATTGACGGGTTCTCGCATAACAACCGCGCGTCCGGCGGCCGACCTGCTTCTTTGGATCTTGCTCAACAAACGCGCGAGAACAAAGAAGCCCGGCCAGCTGGCAAGGGAGTGGCGAGCACAGCAGAATCCAGGGATTTACGCGCAAAGGGACCCGTAAACACGCTCTCTTGCACGTCGCGAGGGCACGCTCGACGCCTTCCAGCAGGCAACCGACTTGACCGACACTTTGCGTTTCGTTCTTCCTTGCTCGTGTACAACTTAGCTGCAAAACTTAGTGCAGCACGTATCTCTTTCTTTCTCTAGAAATTATTTTTTTTTCCTTTCGGAAATTCATCTGACATTCGATCTGAACCAAAATTTATTGTAAAAGTACAATAAGGATGAATACGGACATCTAAAGATGTACTTGAGTTAATCTTAGATACGAAGTCAAACTATGAATGTGAAACATAGTTTATACATTTGTTGAAGTACTAATTATAACTTCAATAGAGTGATAGCTCAGCTAGATCAGCGGACTTGTCAGCGACACGTGTGAAGACACGCAGAAAGTAAGCAAGGAAGGGGAGACTGCGAAAGTGGATGATGGAGTTGCCTTTTTTGAAGCCCATAATCGCGGTCAAGGTCTGTATGGATGTGTGTCCATGCCAAAATATCTTCGCAGTATTCGCATATCGACGCTTTGGGGCAGATACTTCTCCTCCGCGTCATGCTTTTTACATTCGAAACGCTCGTTGCTACGCATCTCCGAAGCGGAAAATCGATAGTCGCAGACGCGGCCTCCGGACATATATCCATTTCCATTAGAAGGAAAGCCAATGTACCATGGAAAACGTCGCACTCGCGCGTATTTCGAAATGTATACGGCCAATTGATCGTCGAACATATAAGATAGACTAAGTATTCCATACACTTCCTTATATAAATTGGGTTTGGCAGAACAGAGAGAGAAGCAAAGCATTAATGAATTTCTGCTCTTTGCTGCTCACGCATTATTGACAGTAATAGCAATAAAAAGTAATAGTAAAGTCATAATAATCTAAATATACCATAGAATAGATTGCTTTTAGTTATGTACATTTTATTCCATATATTTTCCTCGAAACACGTTATTCATGTCATTAAACGTCGATGTTGCTGGACTAATCTGAAATTGGACTTGTATTAGTATTCAAATGATGAAATAATTTAATTACGCGCATACCCTTACGAAACTAAGGGAAAAACTAGGGATAAACACCTAAATTTGAGTGTTAACACCCAGAATTGAGGGTTTTTTCGTATTTTTTTCGTAAGAGTATGCTTGGATGAGAATATGTATAGTTCCCGCCGTGACTATTAAAAGACGCGCATTCTGCCCCCACGCGGATAAAGACAGAAAGAAGTTCCTCTATGTTTTGCTTTTCCCTTCGTTCCCCCAAAGATCCGTGCGCCGAGAGTCTATCTTATAGTACGTATGTCTATGGTCGGATTTCACACGACGTAAGCCGACGATGGGCCTGAGAGCACAAAGATTATCGCAATCGTTTACGACAGTGTTGTGACGTAAGTCAGTGTCGGAAGTCAACGCACAAGGATTGGCGTAGACGTATGCTGTATCAAATGGTCTGTTCTTTTCAGCTGCACTGCTGAACTGATGTAATAAGTTAGAGTGAGAAAAAAATATACTTGTCTCACTTTAACTTATTGCACCAGTTCAGCAGTGTAGCTGCTGTGTAGCTGAAAAGAACAGACCAAAATATGATTAGACGACACAATCGATGCAGCATACGTCTATGTCAATCCTTGCGCGTGACTTCTGACACCGACTTATGTCTACGACACTGTCGGAAACGATTGCGACAATCTTTGCGCTCAGGCTCGATACTGCGATATCGCGTGCTCGTAAACGGAAAATGACAAGCGTGCCTGTGACGGGGAAACGTCCGCGAAGAGACGCACAGCGCGATATGTGACTTATGTGTGAGCGCACTTCGGAATTTCGAGTAAATATAGCAGTATAACGCTCTCACCTTGGATTTTTTTCAAACTTTGCAAATTTGTATTTTTTAACGCGTAGAATTGATTTCTGAAAGCGAACATTGTGGGTCATTTTTCGTCTTCTTGTTTTTTTTTTATTTTTAATGTTTTAATGATATCGGTAAGTAGGAAAGTGATAATTTTCATTATAAAAATTTCAAACTTTGTGTTAATATGTCTAACATATGTGTCTAAATTTTACGTTAAACATAATTATTACATGCCTTTCTCTACTTTAATCAAAAGCATAAACTCTGCAATAATTCATACATGCTTTTCTCTGCTTTAATCAAAAGCATAAACTCTGTTATAAAGTAGAGAATAAAAAAAAATCCAAGGTAAGAGCGTCATACTGCATATTTACCGGATTTCGCGATAACCGATTCGGGTGATTTTAACTGGTGGCCGAACTGGCAACCGCGCGGCTTCTTCGTCGCTTTGGCGAGGCCAACGCGAAGGTTCATCGCTCTCGACACAAAGACGACCTTCGGACGCGATCTTCCTTTACTCCCGCCGAAGATGCGCATAGTAATTGGAGCAACGGACGCATCGCTCGGCGACCCCGGCTTGGATTCGCGCGAATAAGATGAGCGAGAACGAGTATAATAGCGCGGATAAATTCTCAGCTGAAGGCATCAAAGTCGCGAAGCATATTCGCGGACTTTATTGCTCGAAAGACGACGACGACGTGGTCTCACTCGCGAAGGTCTCTCCTCTGACGTGTTTATTGACTTTACGAGCTCGGCCGCGTCATGCAATCAAGTTTACTCGCGCGTCTGTTCGTCAACGTGCATTCCTCCCGACGTATCGCAAACTTACCTAGCTGTAAATCACACAATTGTTGGCATCTCCCTTACTCATTGGCGCTCTAGAAAAACTTGGTTTCTCCTGCATTCAGCACCTTTATTCAGGAAATTAATCACGAGTCTTTTCTTCTAGCGTGAACTCGTGAAAAGTGAAAAATCTAACTTTAAAAACATCTCAAAATATTCATTTTTCATGAGTTTGCACTGAAGAAAAGGATTCATGATCGCCTCCAAGTACTGCAAAATTAATCACTTTTCGCAATTTCATACTAGGAAAGAAATTACATGATTGACAAGTAAAATCAAGTTTACTTGAAAAGATTTAATCCTGGATTCTCTTTTATTGATAAGAGTACTTCTAAATATGACTGAGAGCCAATTAGAAAGCTTATTTAGAGATACCTTTATCAATAAAAGAGAATTTAAGAATAAAGTGTCTGCAAAAAACTGGATTGGAATGTTGTAAAAATAAGATTTTTCTAAAATGCTAATGACTAAGGAGAATATCAATAGTTGTGGTTTGCCCTACATATTTCTTTGCAGTGTGTAATAAAACGCGAATATGACTTACGGCAGATTCCGTGGAAACATGTTGGAATTTTCCACACCTTTCTTTTTGCACAGAGGCTTGAAATCCAGTATACATCAATCGACCGACAACGGTTTCGTTTAACAATCCGGTTTGAGGATTTTCAAAGTGGCCTGAAGGTCTGTGTAAGAAGTAAAAATGCAAAAAGTGAGCGAATTCACTAAATGTTATTGTTGTTGTTTTGACTAATGAAATTATAAATATTCTAAATCTGCTCGTTTTTCGTATATTTTCATTTCTCACACAGAACCATAATAGGTCTTTTGATTAGCTTGTATATGTCTCCTGTGGTTGCCGATATCTCTTGGCAGATGGCGAGAGTTTCTCGTTAATTTCATCGACGATGTTTCGCAACGCGTTAATGTCTGTCGATAAAGCGGATCCTTGTCAACGACTTGCGACGTTCATGGATTCTGCTTTACCAATGCGACTCCTGCAGTCGGGAACTGCCCTCTATCGATACGTTACCGAAGCAAAGTAAGCACGGCGTCATCTCGAGCCAATCACAGCCCAAGGAGAATCTTGACTGGACAAATACGGGAGGACCAATCACGGAGCCGAACCGGCGACAGCCAGCGCTACGTGTCCGACAGCGCCTCGGTCATGTTGCCGAAATTTGAAAGTAAAACGTTCCTTTACCGATGGTCATGTCGTCGATGTCGTTTCGTGTCAAAGAGAATAAATAATGCCATAACCTGTTGGATCTTATCGAATAAACATTACCTGAAAACGAGCAAATGTTTCTTTTTGCGGAAAAACCCGAAGTAGAGGTTTTGCAAGCGTTTACGACAAAGTCGCGTCATCTGTTGCAATCAGTCGTAAACTTCCTGCTCGAAAATATTTTGTTAAAGCTGCATTTGTAAGGACGAAACGACGCTATTTGTCTTTAATGTAGAAATTAAGCAGTGATGAAACATGCAGTCTGTAGGGATAATTCCTCCATTCCCTTCACGTTCTCTCCGTTTCTTTAGGTTTCTTGTTCGTGATCGTCGCACGTATCAGCCGATCAAAACGGGACAGTAATATTATCGACATGTCGATGGAAAGATATTTAACAAACAGCCATTCTCAGCGTCCGTGTGTGTACGCACGCAACTTAGTTTAGAAAAGCAAATTAAACATCACAGATGTCGAAAAGATAATTTTGTTTAGTAAGATACTATTGAGCCGTTTGATACCTCATCCCCACGTTAACCTAACGTACGTTGTTAATCAACGTCACAGGTAACGAACTTCTTGAAAGCATCGCCTTATGGACGAAAAGAGTGAATGGAAACACGATACGTTAACTAATATCTCAAGATATCTTAATCGATAGAATTGTAACAACGTACAGGTTAGGTTACATGCCATCGAATGCTCTCTCGTTCACGTCCGCATTGTGGATATCATTTCTGAGTCGAGGGAAAAGCTCAGAGGCGAAATTCTTCGATCTCCACGAGTGTTAACTAACCTAAATCGCAACGTGCATAACGGGACCTTAAATGTTCGTCCGATTATTTCTCCCGTGATGTTTTCAGAACGTACAATAGAAATTCGATCTCTCTGGCACCATAAGAAAAAAAAGGCACACACACAGAAGCTAACACGAATGTAAGAATGACGTAAACATTTCCGTAACTATTCCAGGCCTCCCGTGACCTTAATAATCTGGTCCATGATTCTTCTAATTGAAAGTCGCATCGCGCCCGGGTCTTCTCGGAGACTTGAAAAAAAAGGGCATGGGAGGAGGATCTCGAGAAGCTCTTTTCCACCGCGCTTTCTTCTCGCGAAGGGTTACTATTCAAGGGGGGTTACGTGCGGCTCGATGTCGCCCGTAACTTTCGTCGCCACGAACTCCAGGAGATCGGCGTCATCGTGTTGTCATCGTGTATTATTTAACCTATTAATTTCATCAATTCTCTTCGCCAGAACTTTCTCCCGCCTAGAACTTATTGACTTGCTGACGAGGAGCCGGCCACGACCAGTCGAGAACGGTTAGGGAAAGTATGCGCGCTCAAGTAAATCAATCACGATTCTGCTAACACCTGCCCACGTGGAGAAGTCCTAAACGTCCGGCTATATCACAGCTGCGTTGCCGCCGCTTGCAACCGAATTTTCTACAGACTACAATTGTGCATAGCTCGGACTCTCGCGATCGAAAAGAATCCGATTCACGCGGTCGGATCACGGCCTGTTGCTACGTGCGATCTGTTCATTGGAGAAAAGTTTCCAACACGAGATCGACTTGTCCACGTGTATCATTTGTCCACGATATATGTTGCTGTGCTAAATGTATGGGTTACTTGTGACTTGAAATAAAATACATTCAAACTAATTGACTGTTATTTAACGCTTAGAAATATACAATATGCGACTTTTTAATTAATTTAAGTAGGACGCGACGTGAGACATTATGGAATGACTCTTTGCTGCTTTGCTCATGATTCATTGTTCTATTATTGTGACGCAATTAATAAGTACTGAGTAAAATATTTTATGATAATACTTGATAAGTGGAAAATGATTTAAAATGTAATGAAGTTATAAATAAAAAATGAAAGGTTCTGTTACTCTATTTGATTAGTCTATCCTTTTCGAACTTGAATAAATACAACTATTCAGTCTTTCTAGAAATTCTAACCTTGAAAATCTAACCTAACCTAATCTGCCTTAACACTCAAGGTTTTCTTTTACGTTTTCTGCAATAAAGTATTGAGTGAAATTTTGATTTTTTGAGGTTATGATTGAAAGGTGGATGAAATGCTGAAAAATTGATTACGACTACGAGGTAATTCAACGTATGAGAGAATTAGGGCCCTGAAAAGGGCCAATTGTGTGTATCTGCGTCAGAGAATTATTTTTTCGCTGCCTTCGCGGTCTTAGGAGCAGCTTTGGCGGTCTTCGGCTTCGGCGTCTTGGTTTTGGCGGCCGGTGCTTTGGTGGCCTTCTTGGTCTTGGACAGGCTCTTCACTTGCGCCGCCGCCTTCTGCTTCGCTGCGGCCTCAACCTTCTTCGCCGCCGCCGTCTTGGCGGTCTTCTTCTGCGCCGCTGGCTTCTTCTCGGCCTGGGTCTTCTTGGCTGCAGCCGGTTTCTTTTCCGCCGGCGCCTTCTTCGCTACCACGGCCTTCTTCTTCGGCGCGGCCTTCTTCGCGGCCAACTTCTTCGTGCCGCGCTTCTCCTTGTCCTCCGTGCCAGATTTCACGACTGCCAACTTGAACGAACCCGACGCGCCTTTACCCTTGGTCTGCACCACTGCGCCGGACGTCACCGCTGCTTTCAAGTACCTCTTGATGAAGGGCGCGAATTTCTCGCCGTCGACCTTGTACGTCGAGGCGATGTACTTCTTGATCGCCTGCACGGACGAACCCTTGCGGTCCTTCAGCTCCTTGATAGCGGTCGTGACCATCTTCGCCGTCGACGGGTGCGACGACTTCGGCCGTTGGGTCTTCGCCTTGGACTTGGCGGCCTTCTTCGTTGGCGGAGAACCTGCGGCTGTATTTTCCACCGCGGCAGTATTCCCGGACGCGTTCTTATCCTCCATAGCGGTTGATGAGAGCTAGAGAAGAGACGATGCTCGACTGAAGACAAGGTACAAATATAAACGCTACGAACGTTCACAGATGCCTCTATTCGACACTGCTGCCGCGCGGCGCGTCTCTTGTACTAGGAGCGCGGACCATGGAGAGAGACCCTCCCAATGTTGCAGGTAACATGTCGCTGGGAATGAAAGACCGGCCGGCAATTGTTCGTCGTTTAAACAATATTTTGCACAATGAAGGCCATGCGATCGGCATGCGGATACTTAGCAGCAAGTAGCTGCTTCCGTTTGATACGCTTTGCCGGCCGCTGGCGATCAATACACGTGGATTTTTTCGCGGTTCCGTGCGACGCGCGCACCCGATTCGTTCGCGCGCGACGATACAACTCGAGAAATAAGTTAATAAACAATTTAATTATCGATGCACGATGAGCATATGCGGCTTATGGAACGTCGTGATAGCTGTGCTAACCGATCGCAAGTGTGCAGGCCGAGCGAGATACCATATTCGCGCGTAAAAAAGCAACTTTCGCGGATGGCAGAATACAAGCGTTAGTGCAACACAATGTGAATACCGATTACAAAGTACATTTGCAGACAATTTTACCGAATGCTGTAAATTGCTATTATCGGTCGGGACGAGTGCATACGCAATCACGTTGCAATGTTGGCCGCGTAATTGTCGAATTTACGCGCGAAAACATCGCGTATACGGCCACGCGGCCCTCTGTAAGCCGTCGATTATACCTGTGCAGTTAAACGTTGCCGTCGTCAGTGAACGGCGCGACAAGATAGCGTAGTAATGTGCAGAGATTCGCAGTAATGAAAAATAACGTCGGATTAACAATAAATACGTGCGATGCGTTGCCTTTCAGGAAAATTCGCCAATTTCACACGCGGACTCTTTCCCGATCCGTGTGTGACCGAGAGAGCGCGAAATATCGTGTCGCGAGCCTATCGATCGCGACTTTCGTCAGTTTTGCAAATTTACCCGACCTAAAATCGACACCGTTGGATTCTCCCTATTGCTGATCGCTCGAAACTCAAGTTTCAGGATATTCCGGGATTTATGTCACAACGACGTCGCGGAGATACTTATCTCCACCTCGCTGTTACAACATCATTAAGCGATGTTGGTTGAATCGATGTTTGCATGAAAAGAAGACTTGTTTCATTCCCTTAAGAATTACTTTTGCCGAATTTGCAATAAAAATCCGATCAACTCCGAGGACCAATGACGCGTCTTTCCGCAATTACGTTCATGTTGACATGTCAACAGGAAGGTCTATGAATATACAAGAGACATTGAGTATGATAAAAATGCAGCAGTTTGACGTATATCCGCTTTGATAAAGTCGTACTGTATGAATATACAAACTGTTACTACCCGACTCGACGCTGTTTTACCACGCGTCCCAGTTTTTTCTATTTTACGCTTTCAGAATGATGCGACGTTGATTGTTAATTTTAATCTCGGATTTTTTGGAGACCATGAGATATTTCCGTAACGCGCTGCTGGAATATTATTATATCCATGTTTAAGGTTTCGACTCGATGTTTAAGGTTTAAAGTGAGACTCTAAAAGTATCCGCAGCATTTTCTTCTCTTCATTTACTGTACAACGGCGTTTAACGTCTTCGCGTTTTTCATATGGACGAATCTCGCGAAAGTATATTGTCGCACGCAATATTCGTGACTTTTGAGAGAAAATATCTCTTTTGCGTAAATTTATTCAAACAGTCGAGTGGCGAAGAAGGAAACTAGAAGTACTACGTGAATGTATATTTCATCGAATCGCAAAAGTCGCTGCTTATTGAACTTCTCTAGATCAGTCATTGCAAATTGTCACCGACGTGCAATTATGTTAATCACATTAATTTGAAGCATGACACGCTGTTTCTAATAATTTAGACTGTCATTTATAATCTACTGAAAAAAAACTAAACACGCAAAGTTACGATTAAGCTGACACATGCAAGGGTGCACATTTATCGATATTTTACTGCGCCTATACAGGGAGACCAATTGTTATCATATTTTACTTTAACCATTATGTTCTTGACTAGATTAAAGCAAGTAAATAAAGTTCTCGATAAACAATGTTGTCTGATCCAGATTACGCGTCGCGCGTCTAAGAATAAATCTGTATCTCCAAGTACTAAGTTTCTTTAGAGAAGAGATGGATATGTAAGTGAAATTTTTGTATCCAGAGAAATAATTGATACTTATATCACGTATTGCTAAAAAATTCAATTTTGCAAAATTGAATATAGATCGAAGACGGATTTTGGCTACAATGAAGTATTCAATTCCATTAATATTTTTGCCCTTCTTGATGCTGATTCATTCAAATTTTTACTTAGTGTCATTACGGATTAAAAATCATAAAGTCATCGAAGAAACAATGCTCGTAGACATAAACGAGCTGTCACAACGGGTTTCAAATCTGGAGCGAGTATTCACTTGGAATATTCGATGTATCGAGCATGAATACTCAGGGGCGTTAAGTTTATTGGTCGTAACTTGAGTCGCATTAAACATCCGACTTCGTTATCTGCAAAGGTCGATCTGAATCACGCGATGGAAGTATTTATTCCAAGTATCCGATTTGATTGAGGCAACTCGGACAGGCATTGAGTTTTTAATATTTTAGCGTGGGAATTGTGGAATGTGTGTTTCGTATATTTAAAGAGAATGTTCAGGATGGAGTTTTGCATAAACATATAAACATTACAATCCTACCCGACACGCTTCGCATGCAAATCGTGTTTTGCGATCGGGACGCATCTCCAGCGAGCTGCTATGTCTTTCCTCAATAATGATATATCAACGCTCTCGCATATGCGATGAGATTATGAAAAAATCATAAAACATAACATTTAGGATCAAGAACGACGCACGAGGAGCGAGTTCCTTCCGCCAGAGGCGTCCGTTGAAACGCAGCTGTCTCGCAGAGCCCTCTGATTGGCCGATGCGTCCGCCTTCCCCCACTACCAGCGCCGCAGCCAATCAACGCGCGAGGTTCTCACGCTGACGTCGTTAAATAGGCGCCCGGAGTGAAGCAGGCACTCACTTGCACGCTGCAACCGTAAGCATAGTTTGCTCCGATAGAAATTGACGAAAGATGGCACGTACGAAGCAGACTGCTCGTAAATCCACCGGAGGCAAGGCCCCACGAAAACAGCTGGCCACCAAGGCAGCTCGCAAGAGCGCGCCTGCTACTGGTGGAGTGAAGAAGCCTCATCGTTACAGGCCTGGAACGGTAGCTCTTCGTGAGATCCGTCGTTACCAGAAGAGCACAGAACTTCTAATCCGCAAGCTGCCCTTCCAGCGTCTCGTTCGTGAGATCGCTCAGGACTTCAAGACCGACTTGCGTTTCCAGAGCTCTGCTGTAATGGCCCTTCAGGAAGCCAGTGAGGCCTACCTCGTTGGCTTGTTTGAAGATACCAACCTTTGTGCCATTCATGCCAAACGAGTCACCATCATGCCAAAAGATATTCAGCTTGCGCGTCGTATTCGTGGGGAGCGTGCTTAATTAGAGAAGTTTTTCAATCGGCCCTTTTCAGGGCCACCAATCATCTTACATCGATGGAAATCTCAAATTCGCTAATGGCTCCAATTTATATAGTAAATCGTCCTGTTTAATGCATTTCAAGTTTCTTTGAAACTTGAATATATTTACAAGTCTTAATATAACAAGTAGGCAAAATAATTTCAATTTTTATGCTATAATTAGTATAATTTAATTAATTACAGTATTTGAAAGCATAAGATTTTACATTTTCAACAATTTACAATTTACATTTTTATGTTAAATACACGTAAGACAATTCGCATCGTTTGAATAAATGATACATTACACACCAAAGTAACGCATGGCAGCAAACGTGCACAGCTATAGTAAAAACGTGTTTATGAAAAATAAGCTAAACCTTGATAAAATTTACAATACTCATATGACTCATCACTCGTGAATGAGTGTTGGACTTAACACGATACTACGTTTAAAAATCCGGGGACATTTTATTTCTCCATTATAAAGAATTACGCGATTATTCACATGTGTGCAGGGAGATTCTCAAAGTCATAAAACTTTTAGAAACTTTTAGAATCGAGAACACAAAGGTTCGTATCCTGTCTCTTTTAACAATAAATGACTAAAAGTAGTTTATAAGCTTTTTGACTAGTTATAAGTTACTTTTAGAGGCTCATTTATCGCTAAAAAAGAATTCAGAGTACAAGCCAAAGAGCATGACAAAAAATAAGAATTTGAATCTTATCTCTCATTCCTTTTAGCATCAATACTAAACAAAATAGCCTACACATTTTTTTCTACAGTAACAAAATATGTAGACTACACATACAGAGCTTGATATGTAAAAAAATGTTAATTTTATATTAATGTAATATCAAATTTCTTTTGCCTCTTCTTTCCCATTAACGTTAATAATGTATGAATATATCATGCAATATCCATTTATTTCGGGAAGCAGTGGTTATGGAAACATTCATATTATCTATTCTTACCAAATTAGGAACTTTTGACTTTTGGTAATCATGTATCAGAAAATTATTGCATTCCTTTTAGAAAAACTATGCTCCCTCTTTTAGAGACTTTCACTTTAGAATTGTGTTATAAAATATTTAATTCATACAACACAAATACAGAATATTCATTTCGCGTATGATGCTTGTGAACTGATTCATCGATGCTTCGTTTTTACTTTTGGAATTTAATGAAGTGTAAAAGAAAGCAACCTTGAGGAAACGAAACTGGTTTACATATTCTTGAGGAATACGAAATGTAAATCTAACATTTTTTCGTTGACTTAACGTTACACATACATCTAATTAGTTGATTAAATGAGCCATTGATATATACATCTATCGACTAATGATTTTGTAAGCATAAGAACACAGTTGACGAACAACCTTGAATATTCAAGTTTCACTTTCATTCATTCACTGCACGAACTTCATGTCAGGGACGTCAAGAATCCTTTTGTCATGCTTGTAGAAAATATAGCGAATGAGAATTGCCCAAACGTTTGAATGATTTGTGGCCCTGAAAAGGGCCGATTGGTTTGGAGGAATGCGCACTGTTTCTTCGTTTATCCGCCGAAGCCGTACAGGGTCCTGCCTTGGCGTTTCAGAGCGTACACGACGTCCATGGCGGTAACGGTCTTTCGTTTCGCGTGCTCGGTGTAGGTGACAGCATCACGAATGACGTTTTCGAGAAACACCTTCAGCACACCGCGAGTCTCCTCGTAGATCAAGCCGGAAATACGCTTTACACCGCCTCGACGCGCCAGACGACGGATCGCCGGTTTGGTGATACCCTGGATGTTATCGCGAAGAACCTTCCTGTGACGCTTCGCTCCTCCTTTTCCCAATCCTTTTCCTCCCTTACCGCGACCAGTCATCTTGTATGCTTAGCTGAGATACAGACTCCGAGTGCAAGCTGAACTCGATTAACGGCTCGACTCGCCGGTCACCCTCTTTTATACCCGTGTCTCCCCACCACAGTGGCATCGGCCAATAGGAGCGCTCGTCGTTACTCGGTCTAACGTCCACGTAACCGCGCGATGTCAACCAATGAAACATCACATTATCGTTTTTCACGCGATACACGCGTATGAATTATTTTCTTGGCGCGTACGGCAAGAGGAATAAAAACCTCCAAATAGTACAATGAGTAATATGACTGCCTTACGCGCGTTTCGCCTCACACACGTATTTTCTTACACGCCTGCCGAAAAGCACGGTGTTCTGTTCGGTGTTAATTCCGAGCGCGATCGATTCGCAGGTTTTCCCTGGCAGAGCAATGATAAAAAACGCTTGAAGCTGAACGCGGTGTTCAATGCTCTGAAAACGTCAGAAGTGTTTGATTAATCGCTGAGACTCTATTGTTCATTATTCTGAAAAATATCTTGATCTTCTTTTAGTGCGTTTTGCGAATAAGTACTTGAATCCTGAGTTTTTACAAATAGTTTTTCCTCCTGCAATTTTTTTTTTTTTAATGGTTCATCATTTTAATGAATCTCATAATTTATTTAAGTATTGAATTTATTCGCTGTCTATATTGTCCAAAATCCACTCCACTTTTACAGGCAAGTGACTCACATGAATCTATACTTTGTTTGCTTTACATTTGGATAAGATACTATTTCAGGTAATAAGAGAATTTAATCGAATAACAGAAATAATGCGTATCGAATAAGTAATTACGTTATCTTAAAGAGTGAGAATGAGTCAACAACTCTCCCTCTGAGTCAACGAAACAAGTCAACGGAATGGAATTTTTTCGAACCAGTTAGTAAATTATCTAGCTTCTGATAAATTACCAAACATTACAACCTACCTCTTAAATTTTTATTTAAATAAATGAAAGATCCTTTCATTTCACACATAATCTCTCCTACGGAACTTTTTCCCTCACAAAATAAGGGACAATTTAACTTCTTTCACTTTTCTCTCTCCCTCATTAGCGTTAATAACGTATAATTATTGCGTCATGTGCAATATCTACTTGTTTTAGAAAGCAACGATATTTATGAAAACGTTCACATTACCCACTTCTATTAAATTAATGCTGCAATTTTAAGCAGAATTGTAAGTCACGTAATTTGTTCTCATAAAATTCGTCAGAACTTATGAATAAATTTACAAGCTATGTAATATCATATGTCGTACAATCACTTGTAAATATCATAAATTACATGAAATCGTAGATATTTACGAGTAATTGTATGACATATGATATTGCATAGACTTGTAAATCTATTCATAAGTTCTGACGAATTTTATGAGAACAAATTATGAGACTTAGATTCTGCTTAGAATTGCAGCATAAGAATTTTTTGGACTTTTGATAACCATGTATCAAATGTATGTATTATGTAAAAAATTATTGCATTATTCTCAGTAATTGTGCTTAGATCTTTCTCTCTCTCTCTAAGTTTATAACTATACTATATAATATTTACTATACAATATTTATAACTATACTATAAATATTTAATTTAAGTACACAAAATGTGTATTCGCGTTTTTGTGTTTACATTAATTTATTGATGCCTCTTATTCTCACTTTTAGGATTTAATCAAATGTAAAAGAAAGAAAGCAATTTTCAAATGAATAAAGTTGTAAACACCTTGTTCTTTGTGACTAATTACATTACCTGTCAATAAGTAGAAATTGTAATATTTGTATCTCATAGTTATAATTAGAACTAGCATCATGAAACGAATTGGTTGTTTCAATTATCGAGTATACTTATACATTGAACTTTCTTAAAGTGAATGTTTGAAATATCAAATATATAGTCGAAATACGCTAAACATTTGCTTTTGTGGACTCCTATATTCCACAGCATTATTGACGTTTTCTACTTTAACTTATTTTTATGTCGAATTCGTATCTATATTTCACAATTGGATTAATTGTATATTATTGTTTTCGATATGTTTGGTAACATGTTATTGTTATTTAATTATCTTTACGTATATAGTAATCGTTAAACTACGAGACAGGTTTTATTTTTATATGTAAAATCAAGTTATGTAAATACTTCAATACGAATTCAATGTGGAAATGACTGAGTTAAGATTTGAAACAGTATATATTTTTTTTTATTGAAATAATTTAGTTTTTCGTGTTTCTCTATAAAAGAAATTTTATCCGATTTATTTCTCTCGATATCATTTCCTTTTTGCATAAGTTAATATTCATTGAAATGTTTATCGTATTTAGACAATATACTTGATACTTTGATTTTATTCAGTTCACACAAGAACAAAATTAATGATTAATAATTAAAATTTAGCTTCAGTTATATCGAGAAAAAATTTGTGAGATTTAATACTAAAAACCGAATACTTTAGATTGGTTTCTTCAACTTTGTTCAGGAAGGATGGATGAATAAGATCTTAAGACTAATTGCAGATAGGAATTCCCACGTTTTAAGATATTTGCGGCCCTGAAAAGGGCCATTTGTGATGTTTCCGCTATTTCAAGTTATGCCTTCTTCTCAGTCTTCTTCGGCAACAGCACTGCTTGGATGTTAGGCAGTACTCCACCCTGAGCAATCGTGACACCAGAGAGCAGTTTATTTAACTCTTCGTCATTCCTGATGGCTAGTTGTAAGTGCCTTGGGATGATCCTGGTTTTCTTGTTGTCACGAGCTGCATTGCCAGCCAACTCCAATACTTCAGCTGCCAAGTATTCCATGACAGCAGCTAGATAGACGGGTGCACCGGCACCAACACGCTCGGCATAGTTGCCTTTGCGGAGAAGTCTGTGGATACGACCGACTGGAAACTGCAGACCTGCTCGGTTGGAGCGAGACTTCGCCTTCCCCTTCGCTTTGCCTCCCTTGCCACGGCCAGACATTTCGTTTGGATGAATAAATGCGCTGTATGACCAATGTAGTCGCTCGAAAGCTCGTAGAGTTGTGCCGCTCACTCTCCGCTGCGCCGTATTTATACCATCTCGCTGCAGCTGGCACTGACCAATGGCGTTGCGCGAAAGTAGCATTCGAGCGTTTCTCGCATATGATTGGGTGGCGCTGCTGTTGCGCGCCACTATATATAAGCGTGCCGTAGCAGTACCGCTCACTCGAACCTTGACTTCTCAGTCGATCTGTTCAGCGTACAACTTATCTCAGCGATAATCAACCATGCCACCGAAGGCTAGCGGCAAGGCGGTGAAGAAAGCCGGTAAGGCTCAGAAGAACATCAGCAAAACTGATAAAAAGAAGAAGAGGAAGAGGAAGGAGAGCTATGCCATCTACATATACAAAGTATTGAAGCAGGTTCATCCTGACACCGGTATTTCCAGTAAAGCCATGAGTATCATGAACAGCTTCGTAAACGATGTCTTCGAACGCATTGCGGCTGAAGCATCACGACTGGCTCACTACAACAAACGTTCTACCATTACCTCTCGGGAAATCCAAACTGCCGTAAGACTTTTGCTACCTGGTGAATTGGCAAAGCACGCCGTGAGTGAAGGAACAAAAGCAGTTACTAAGTACACTAGCTCAAAGTGAACGAGTACTGACACCCAAACGGCCCTTTTCAGGGCCCCAAAAATATAACGTGAATATTCTCTCGACTCGTGTTAATATTCAAGTTACAATTTAAGTAAAGATTATTCGAACGTCTAAAGAACACATATTGCAATATCGTATTAACAAGACTAAGCAATAAACTATTAGAATTAATCGGAAGTTCGAAGATTACTGTTACGTTGTTTTTAATTTAACTTTATTCATTTAACACGCTTAAAAATCTAACGAGTTCTTTCTTGATTTTAACTTATAATTACACTAAGTTTTAGTGTGTCTAACAATACTTAAAACTTATCGCAATATTACAATCTATTTATCTATAAATAAATAGAAACTAAAATTCTTGTTCAACTATTAGTCAATATTTAAGAATAAACCATAAAAATGTCCGATCCGTAAAGTCAAACACTTCGAAAAGTAGGTTTCTGATCTGTTGAAATGTAATGATTCGATTTGTCGAGGCAGAAATGGTAATACAATGAAAGCTTAAGGGAGAATCCTGCTTTAGAAGGCTCAAAAAATCGATTTTTTTATTGCTTAAATCTATTCCTAATGTATCTAAGAATATGTATCCAAAGTTATAGAGGCTAATTCACAATATTTTCAAAGATACAGCACTAAACGCAGTGAGGTGTCGAGCAGATATACGAGCGCTCAGGCAGCTGAAGCGCGCGCTCCTTCCCTCTGTTCGAATAACTCCGAACTATGTACCTGAAAAGGTACGTGCTTCTACGGAGCTGCTTCTAGCATCAACGATTAGTTTTGCTGAGTCTTGTCGAGTGCACATCGCTACAATATCATGTCAAGTTATCCCAAAGGTGATAAATCGAGCAGTGATCGTTCTGCGAAACCACGAAAACGCAGATTTCACAGGAATCGATTCACAAGTGAACCAGACAATGCAGAGTGCAACACAAGCAGTAGTGCGAAGAAATTAGCCACCGCAAGCACCGAAAATATAATTGTACATGCAGGTCACTGTTACCGAACAATTGAATTTCTGACAGTGTTTCTTGCAATTTCTGACATAGTAATATGCAGATCTTGTAAACAAAACAACATTTTTGCAGAGAGCGGGCATCGAGGCTTGGGTTTCAAAATTGTATTATCATGTATGTGCGGTTGACGAGAAATCAATTCAGGACCGTTAATAAACACCGGTTACGAAATAAATAGACGAATTGTGTTTGTGATGAGGCTTCTTGGTGTTGGACGAGAAGGCATGTGTTTTGTGGACTTATGGATATATGTCAAGGTTTGGCGAAATCAACATATGATAAAATAGTGCAGCATTTATACTCAGCGTCGAAATCAATTCACGGATTGAGAGGGAAAACCGGCGTACGTCTTTTTCCAGCAAGGAAGCTCGCACGGCCCGTAGACTCGAGCAACTGCATCAAAATGAGTTTTTTGAGGAAGTTGAAGGTTTACTTTATGGCGCAGGAATAGCTGATTAGCGTATTATTACTGTAAGTAATCGAAAATTAACGTTTTTTCTGATCGTAAACTTTAAAGCGCGTTTTCTCGAGTTTTCGTTTTTACGATTTTTCTAAACTGGCGGGCGTGATGGCAAGAAAACTAGACCAATCAAAACGAACCAAGGCTTGTTAGCTTCAGTTTTGTATTCTCTTCTATTTGAACTAAAAAGATTCACGAACAAAATTTCTAAACAACTTTTTTAGCAAGTTGAAATGATTTTTTTTTACAAAAAGCACATTTTTTTCAAACCTGAGAAAAATTTTAAATTTCACGATGTTTTGGGTTTTTCTTGGTTCATCTAGAAGAAAAATTTTTTAATGTTCAAATATGCAATAAAATAATCTAAAAAGTTCGCTAGACTTGCTTATTTTTTTCTGTCCTAAAAAAATCCCCCCAAAAACGCTTTTTTTAGGCCTCCTAAAGCAGGATCCTCCCTTAAACTATTTTGAGACAACAGTGTTCTTTTTGGACTCGTTAAAACATTTATTTATTAAAAAAAGCCAGTTATGTCTTAGAAATTGGTTTATTCGGTTCACCCGTTAAAAGTGATTAATAAGTTTAAAAAACTTATTTATTAGACTCATTATTTTAAAAATAAATAAAATTGTGAGACGTGTAGTAAAAACAAATGAGTCTAAATCGAGAGAATTCATGTTTAAAGTGTACTCCAAAACGTTATTTTTGAAGAAAATTTAATTCAATATCCTATATGTATAATTCACATTATATGTACTAAAGAGTATTGAATAAAATTTTTCTCAAAAAGGATCCTTTAGAATATAATTCTAAGATTATTTTGATGAATTAAACCAACGGCGCACGGTGCTTGTTTCGTGCTGGATTACTTGCTGGATGGAAATACTCTATTTTGATTGGTGCATTTCTATCCATCTATCATTACAAATGTACCAATCAGAATAGAGTATTTCCATTCAGCAAGCAAACCAGCACGAAAACAAGCATTGTATGTCGCTGGCTTTAATTTCAAAGTCTCCGCAAAGGACCGCCGCTTATCTTGACGAATATAAAGCCAGTACATGGTGCTTGTTTTCATGCTGAATTGCTCGCTGAATGTGAATACTCTGTTCTGATTGGTGCATTTCTGAAAATGGATAGAAATGCACCAATCAAAACAGCAAGCAATCCAGCACGAAAACAAGCACCGTGTGCCGCTGGCTTAACACTTTGATACATACGATTGACACAGAAAATGCAAAAGAGGAGTCTTGTAATATTAGCAAGTTTAACAAAGAAAGCTGCTTTGCAACTATTGTAAAATTCATGAATTTAATTGGTGTATGCTTTTAATTTTTGCTGAATCTAAGAGCATATACCAATTAGATTTACAAATTTTATAACAGTGTAAGTCCTGATCTACAATAGATATAGTAAGCTTTAAGTCGTAAGAAATTAACCAATCACAATTGATTATTCCTCTATAATTCGATTGTGATTAATCAATTTCTTAAGATTTAAAGCTTACTATACCTATTATAGATTGGGACTTATAGCATGTTCGACTGGCTTTGGGTTAACCCACTTTGGATTATTCCGCCTACGTTTATTGGTCGAACAAGTACTTATAAGCTTTATGATTGGCTAGTAGAGACTTATGACGTCATTAATCACTTTCGGAGCGATTAATTCAAGGTCAGTCGAACACGCTATTAAGCAACTTTCTTTATTGAACACAACCATTAGTTAGGTTATTGATTGGTTAAGTTTAAATTCAGTTTTGTAATGTCCATTTTGGATCAAGATCCATATGAAGCTACAAACACTTTGAAACGCAAAGAACGAACGTGATTGGTCTGTAGGACTCTGACCCGATTATTCCTTTTGGTAAGCTACTTAGGGTGTCCGTACAAGAACATCCGTAACATTGTTAAGTATTAACAATGTGCAATGGTCCCATACCTGTACGTAAAATTAAACTTAAGTCAAGGTACAAAGAAATTCGTAAACTTAACATTTTACGGATGTTCTTGTGCGGAGACTAATGGCTCCTGCACACAAGACGCGGTAATGCTTGCCGCGCGGCGGAAGTTCACGCGACAGCCAATCAATATGCTACTTTCCGTAATAACCTTCTAGCGCTTACGGAAAAACAATATATTAATTGACTGTCGCGCGGACTTCCGCCGTGCGGCAAGTATTACCGCGTCCTGTGTGCAGGAGCCATAAAGGTCGATTTATGATGGCTGTAACCGTTAACTTCTGCTGTAATTCATAAGAAATGGATCAATCGCAGTTGAATATTCCTGTAATAATCGACTGCAATTAGTTAATTTCTTATGGATTACAGCATAAGTTAACAGTTACGGCCATCACAAATCGGCACAAAAACCCATCGCACATGAAATGACATAGCTGCATATACATAGCATAAGATCGTATGGACCAATGAATATCGATATTAAGCCGCTATATTGATGCTTGATGCTCAATACTCGATGCTTATTGGTCCATACAGTTTTATGCACATGCAGTTATGTAATTTCATGTACAATGGGCAACACTTTTGCATAGAGGTATAATGCATAACGCATAAGAAAATTGACCAATCAGAGTCCTTCATTTTATCGTGGCAATAGAAATAAGGATTCTGATTGGTCAATTTTCTTATACGTGCATTATGCCTTTATGCAAGAGTGTGTGCTTAAGGCCTATGTGAATACAGACAATAGCTTTTCGAGCATGGCTGCTTTCCGAAATTCATTGCCAGTATTGAAATTCTACAATATATGTAACATGAACTACAAATGTTCAGTACTGGCAATGCATTTCGGAACGTAGCCCATAAAGGCATTCTACAATAGCTGTAAGAATATGGCTGTAAAGCTTAAGACGCGAAATAAATTATTTTCATTCGCTAACAGCTCACGTTACAGCCTTATGGCTCCTGCATACAGGACGCGGTAATGCTTGTCGCGCGGCGGAAGTTCGCGCGACAAGCATTACCGCGTCTTGTGTGCAGGAGCCATTATAGCCATATTCTTCAGTTATTATAGATGGTAGTAGTAAGTGTAGTAGTCCCGATCTAATAGGTGTAGTAAGCTTTAAACTTTAAGAAATTGACCAATCACAGTGGAATTATAGAAAAATAATCATATATATATATAAATTCATACAATGTATTAAAAATATATTTAAATATCAATCATTTCTCACTCATTTCTTTGAAGATTATACATGTACAACCAATTACAGGAGAGGTTCGTTCCAAGACTAATTTATCAAAAAGACTAATTTACCAATTTTTTTTTAAATCTTTATTATTCCAAATCTATTTCGTCGCCTTCAAAGTAATCCCTCTCAGACACAATACACTTATGCCAACGTTTTTTCCAACCCTCGAAACAGTTGTTGAAGTCGATTTCCAGAATGGCCTTCAAAGCTTTCTTCGATTCAACTTGTATCTCTTCAATCGAGTCAAAACGGTGTCCCCGGAGCGGTCTTTTGAGTTTAGGGAATAGCCAGAAGTCACACGGTGTTAAATCAGATGAATATGGTGGTTGTGGAACGATATGGGTCGAATTTTTAGCGAAATGGTCTCGAAGAACCAATGCAGTGTGAGATAGTGGGTTTATATCTATCGCTGCAGTGTGGGTTTATATGCATCACGTAATACGGTTTCCAACCGTAGGGTTGGAAAAAAACGTTGGCATAAGTGTATTGTGTCTGAGGGGGATTATTTTAAAGGCGACGAAATAGATTTGGAATAATAAATAAAGATTAAAAAAAAAAATTTTTAAATTGGTCGTACTTTTTGGACACAGTAGTATATATAGAATGTAAGTATTATAAACGACATTTCCATTTGTTAGGTTTTCAAATGTACAAATTCTTCATCCAACTGTAAAATTTTGAGTCCTAATATTTTTTCGATTTTTTCTTTCGCTCATAAATTTGAGAATTTTTCACACTAATAATAGTAATTTATACGATATTTCGACAACAGAGTAACGAAAAAACACGCCGGCTGACCATAACCTTAAAAGATGTCAGACGACGAAGATTTGGTTTACGTGAAGAAACAGAAAACCGTGCACTATGGTTCGCTGGAGGAAGCAGAACGTACTCGGCTCGCGGTCGCCGCTGAAGTTGCGGATGGTGAGAAGGATGTTGCGAATGTGGACGATATCGCCAGTATTTCTACCTCAGCTGGGAATGTACATATCTCGAATGAGTACATGGAGCTGGAGGACGAGATGTCTAAGGATCGCCAGGCACTGCTGGAGGAATTCGAACGTAGGAAAAAAGCCAGACAAATTAATGTCTCCACGGATGACTCAGAAGTGAAGAAACACTTGAGACAATTGGGTGAACCAATCTGTCTATTTGGAGAAGGCCCTGCAGACCGAAGAACGAGATTGAGAGAATTGTTAGCTAGTGTCGGTGAGGATGCTATTAAGAAGAAGCATGAAGAGGAAGAGAAACCGCTTCACACAATTGAAAGGGACACAGAGACCACGTGGTATCATGAAGGCCCAGAATCTCTGCAAATCGCAAGATCATGGATAGCGTGTGAGTCTTTGTTACGTCACTCAGTTTTCTATGATAACAGCTTAAATTTCTTATTGAACTAAGAACATAATTTTCTCTTGTACTACATACTGTTGAATAACTAAGTAATAACAACTGTTGTTGAAAATAACTTTAATAATGCTCTTGTTTTCATTTGCAGCATACTCGTTGCCCAGAGCAAAGGCACGGCTGGAAAAGGCAAGACAGGATCTGGAATTGCCAGCTGCGACACGCACAGCGAAAAGACAAGAACTTCTGAAGAAGTTGCAAGCGTTGAGCATCTATTGCTCTCAGATTGGCGACACGAGGCCCATTTCCTTTTGTCAATTCAGCCCGAATTCAAAGATTCTTGTTACGGCTTCATGGTCAGGCCGGTGCAAGTTATGGTCTGTACCCGACTGTACTTTGTTGCGCACTTTAAAAGGACACGCTTGTAATGTTGGCTGTATTGTTTTTCATCCAAAAGCTACGATAACCGAAGATGTGGTAGGTGAGAACGCTGGCCAGACTTGCGTGTTGGCGTCTTGCGCAACAGATGGTATGCATATCACTTTGTACATCACGATATTTGATATCAGATCATCCTTGCTGCATTTATACTATGAACGTTATATCTCAAACAGGTTCGGTGAAGCTGTGGAGTGGCGGCAATGGCGAAGAGCCGCTGGCAGAAGTGGAAGGACACGAGCCCAACCGTGTGTCCAGGATAGCCTTTCATCCGTCTGGACGGTTTCTCGGTACATGTTGCCACGATTCTTCCTGGAGACTGTGGGATTTGGAGCAGCAGGCGGAAGTGCTTCATCAAGAGGGCCATGCACGACCCGTACATTGCATCAGGTATGTGTCTTCTCTACTTTATGAATGTATTCGTGAAAGATTATCTTCTGTCTATTCAATTAGATAAAAGATATCGATACCTGGATACTAATAAAAACCCATTCGTATGTAACACTAAGCCTGTTCTTTGTAGCTGCATCGCTCTGAACTGGTGCGATAAATTGAAGTGAGACAAGTATACGTTTTCTCACTCTAACTGTTCGCACTAGTTTTAGCAGCGCAACTACAAAGAACAGGCCTACTAATACCCTATTCATAATTAAAGACCAAAACGATAAGAATGTCCAAAGTTAGATGCCAGTATTACTGATGTTTAGACACTGGTATTTACCGCTTGTCTGTTTCTTCGCCTAGCTTCCAGTGCGACGGAAGTGTTTGCGCTACCGGCGGTCACGATTCTTTCGGCCGCGTTTGGGACTTGCGTACCGGTAGGTGCATCATGTTCATGGAAGGACACTTGAGATCCGTCTTCGGCATCGACTTCTCGCCCAACGGCTTTCACATCGCCACCGCGAGCGAAGATAACACCTGTAAGATATGGGACCTGCGAAAACGAACCTGCATATACACGATTCCAGCGCACACCAATCTGCTGTCCGACGTGAAGTATCAGAGAATAGAGGGACAATATCTGGTCACCGCATCGTACGACAACACCGCCAAGATCTGGTCTAACAAGACTTGGCAGCCGCTCAAGATGTTGCCGGGTCACGACGGGAAGGTCATGTCTGTCGACGTGTCGCCCGATCACAAGTTCATCGCGACCAGCTCGTACGACAGAACGTTCAAGCTGTGGGCGCCGGAGTGAAGCAGGTGATGTGTAAATTTCCCTGGCAGAAGTTGACGTATTCGCGACAAATGAAATATGTAATATATATTTGTGCGAAATATAAAAAAAAAGAATCTGCTCCGCGTCGATTTTATAAGTTAGCGATTCTATGGAGTATAGATTATTGTATTGATTCTTATTATGATAACGCGTACAGTTTTGTATCGTACTATCAATAAAATAACTCATCATAAACAAAAAACGGACTTCCAATGATAATATGCGTTGTACGCATCGAGTGTGCGTAGTATTCGCTTTTAAATACACAGCTTGCTTGCTTCCAACTGCGAAATCCAGCCGGAGCGTGATTAAAACTCGCGCTGTTATAATGCATATTTCAAAAATACGTCTTCCGTGAAATAGGTCTTATAATCGCGCGTAAACTTTTGACGTTATTTATAACTGGGGCAGCTGGCCGTTCAATAGGCGCACCGCTGTTGTGTCGGCGCGTTATATTGTCTTCAACAAAGAGTCAAGCGTACGCGTTCCACTGTTGGATCCAGACTCTCGTCGTTCGAGGTTTGTCGAGTACATTTGAAGACGCGAACAGTTTGAAACGAGAAGACTCTCTCCCCCGGCTTGCCTTTACGTTATTAACGAACTTTCGCCGAAATCCTGGACTACAATGGTACATCGGGCTCGGAAACTTCCGCTGTGGATCTTGCGTCGCATTTTGCCGAGGATAGATCTTGTTCTGAAAATTCATTTATTTTTTTTGTTTACAGGTCGCATGAATGTTTCTCCATTTCTTTGTTTACGTTTAATTCATTTAAATTCGATATGTTTGTAACATTTGTTGTTATTTGCGATGAAAAACAAAAACAGGCTGATAGCCTGTCTTTTCTGTGTTTCCATCGGGTTTAATAATTTATTAAAAATAATATCGGAGAGGAACCACGGATCTCCAGGACAGAGTAGAGAGTTTCGAATAAATTTCTAATCTTTCTTATTCTAAACCAGAGTTTGGAATTAGTTGTCCATTTCGGTCGATTCTCAGGAGCTACGCTTTCTATCTTCCTCTTGCCACGAGCGGGTCACAAAAGTGACGGTTGAGCCTCCAAGCTTGAAGCCGCGACTGGCCGCGTCACTTTTGTGCCGCTCGCGGCAAGGGGAAGATAGAAGGCGTAGCTCCTGAGAATCGGCCGAAATGGGCAACTAATTTCGAGCTCTGTATTAAACGATATACTATACTTTCCTTAGTACTAATTTTACACAAGGAAGCTCAATATTTCACAAATATTTTGTCGTGTCAATGAGTCGCATCGTCATTTAGGATAGTGACTCGATATTGATCTACGTACGATATACGTGTACCAGGAACAATTTAGTATAAATAAGAATTAGTTAACAATAGTTTACACGTATGCTTATAACAGTAGTTATCACGTATGCTTGTATTTCGATTTATATCTCGTAGGATATGATTTCCTTCGTTGAAGGATCGCTCATGCGCGTTGTCCCACAAGCGATTCCGACTATCCCGAGATCAGTAAGCTCGAAGCAGCCAGATTCACGCCGATTCGTAGAGGGGTAGAGATTGATGGAGCCAGCTCTTGCTGCCACTCTCGGCGAAATCCGCGGCCGCGTGTCCGTCGCCCTTCAAGACCCATTTGGTTGTCAGCAGCCCGTCGACTCCTACCGGGCCACGTGCGTGTATACGTGCCGTAGAAATGCCGACCTTCACACGAAAGGCAATGAACAAAAATTATATAAAAAAATTGTTACATTAATAAAATTATCAAAAATAGATAATTATAAGAATCAAGGCGTATCTTCCAGTAAACACCAACTAACAGTAGCATTACATTAATGTTATAATTTCGCATTCAACAATGTAACTGTTATAGAACATGTTTCATATTGCATTAACATTGTTAAATGAGAAATTATAACATTGATATTATAACCATTTAATGACATTTTGCGATATACAACGGAAGGCAATTACAATGAAACATAATTATAATTTTGTAATACAATATAAATGCAATATAAATAAAATTTTCTGTTATTGATAATTTGTGTTTATTGGGATATGATTCGTCGTGATTCACGGAATCACGAAGAAGCTCGTGAGATTTCATGATGTCGCTCCCGCCGGAGGATTCTGCAGGCTTACCTCTGCCCCGAGACCGAATCTATAACCATCTGCGAATCTGGTGCTGGCATTGTGGAAGACACAGGCGCTGTCCACCTCCCGTTGAAAGTGCGTCGCTGAATTGGTGTGTTCGGTGACGATGACGTCGGTGTGACTGCTGCCGTACTTATGAATATGATTGATAGCGTCGTCGACATCCGAGACCACCTCAATGGTGCACTCGAGCGCGCCGTACTCGGTCCGCATGCTCTTGGCGGCCGGCGGGCCGAAGGTCAGCAGCTCCCTCAGCTTTGGGCCGGAATTGATTTTCACCTGGAAGGTGGTCGTTCGCGTGAGACATATATACGTAATGCTGGCGTCAAAGCGGCACGAAGAAGATCAATGGGAGAAATATACCGTTCTGGAGGATCAATGGAAAGAGGCGGACTATTTCGGATGAGAATTGAGGCAAATCGACGGACAGAGAGCGCGTAGATACGCGTTATTAAAATTTATGATATGCAGAGGGATATGTGTTCGACAAAGGCGAAGACCTATTTCCTTGGTCTCTGGAAAGCCGATATGCGTCTCGACGAAATTTCAGTATAAACTTTCTGCGAAATCCGGACGAAAGTTTCGCTCTTGAACGCGAAACAGGTATTGTACAATAGCATACCGTACAAGGAATAAGATCCAGATTGTTTCGGACTCTTAATCCTTATCAGACTTCCTGGAAGTCGGCGGATAGCTTTGATACTTTCATAAAAACAAAAAGAGAAGGAAGAAAAAAAACAAAAAGAGAAAAAGAGAAGGAGTTTCCTAGGTAACAGCACGTTTATCATCATTCCTCTTGTCTCATCGCGAATGGAGCTTGACTCACCCCCTCCTTCTGCAGCATGCTGCACACGTCCGTGAAGAAGTTGCCACTCATGAGGCTCTCGTGTATCAGCAACGTCTCCATGGCGTTGCATGCCGCGGGATAATCGCACTTAGAGTCTCGTACGATCCGCATAGCCTTCGCCAGGTCCGCGTCCTTGTCGACGTAGACGTGACAGATGCCCTCGGCGTGTCCCAGCACGGGTATGTGCTTAGATTGCTCCTGAATTGTGCGCACCAGTTCTGAGCTGCCGCGCGGTATGATGAGATCGATGTGCTTCTCCATCGAGAGGAGATCACTCACGTCTTCCCGCGTGGACACCAGCGAGATCGCGTTCGCGGCGCCGAACTTGTTCAGCGCCTCTTTAACAAGCTCCATCAGGTACTTATTGCTATTGGTGGCCTCCTTGCCGCCCTTCAGCAGCAACCCGTTGGCGCTGGACATGGCCAACGCGGCCACTTGAGGCAGACTGTCCGGCCTGGACTCGAAGATAACCAGCAGCACTCCGATCGGCACCGTGATCTGTTGCAGCTCCAGATCATCGGCAAGTCTCGTTCTGCGGACCACGCGACCAACGTTGTTCAGCGAGTCCATCGCGATCTGACGCAAACCGGAGCTCAGGGACTTCAGTTTCGCCGGTGTCAAAGAGAGACGCGATATCAGAGCCTTGGCCAGGCTCGCCTTGCTCGCCGCTTCCAGATCCAACGCGTTCGCCGCGAGTATTTCGGACTGCCTGGTCTCCAGCAAGTCCGCCAAGGTGTTGATGCATTCGGCACGTTCCTCCGGACGTAACGCTTGCAACGTTCGGCTGCCGACGCGAGCTAGAATTTTATTCGAATATTAGTGTCGACGTAAAGTGAGCGCTGGGAAGGATTGACAGGCTGAATGTGAAATGATTATATCTGAGGGAAGAACAGCCTAAAGACAGAAATGTTCGATACCGCCGAACAGAGGAATACAAATATATAATTTGAAAAACGAAAATATAGACTGCTGCAATTAATTATGATGGACGAGATGCATGATGAACGCAAGATAGAAAAGAAGAAAGCATCCGTATTATGTAACCTTATATCCGCCTTGGCTCACAGCCATAATAGATGATCTATCTTCAGCAATGCTTTCTTTTCACAGTATTAAGCACAAGAACTACCAGCATTATCTAGCAGATCGATTAAGATCCCTACAGCGCGTGACGTCGCGCTGTACGTTTATCTGACCTGGACTCGGCTGTTCAACGTATGAGAATGGAGGGCAATCTCAAGCACAGCAGAATTATTGCACAAGACCGCGAAAAGTTCGCTGAAATGGTCGCTAATCTTCGTTAATGAGGGATGCAGCCAAAGAGGAAATATTGATGCGGTGCGATTCTCCCGGCGGGTGAGATTCGGTGATCGCTCTGTTGTTTCCGCCGTGGAAGCGCCGGTGGAAAATAGCGCTCAGTGCGAGCGAAAGTTGGAAATGTATAACGCACGCTTGGAAAAGTGCCTAGATGGATGGAGGGCACGCGCGTTACCGTAATAACACCTCGCGTAGAACGAACGAGCGTGTGGCGTCGAGTGGAACTTTTCACAACGGCGAGGGGATTAATAATATGCAAAACACGCGAAACCGGCCGTTTATTCCAGATTTATATGTGCACGCCGAGGAGTGCAGTCGACATTCGATGGTTCGTGCCGCATTACATGTGAATAAAAGCACTGCTTAACCGGCGAACACACGCGGATTATAATCGAGGAGCAGTTTCACGTACGCTTACGTGAGTTCGGATCTGTTCTTTTTTTCTACAGGAACTGTTGGTCTCTGTGCGCGAAACGCATTAGATTCCGAAGAGAAATAAAAGGAAAAGGAAAGAGAGAGAGGAGAAGAAGTAGAAAATAGTCCGCAGTTCCGAGCGAGAGGTAAGAATATTACCGTTCTCGGCGATCACCTCGACAGGAGTGGACGAGCCGGTGGTCTGCGTGAAGAAAGTGCCGATCTTCCTGCCCGACAGGATGTTCTTGATGGCCTTCTCCTGAGTGCCGTTGCAGATGATCACCGAGACGCCGCGGTCCATCGCCCAGAGCGCGGCGTTGACCTTGGAGTCCATGCCGCCGGTGCCCACCTTCGACTTCTCGCCGAACTTGATGGTGCCTCTGTGATCGGAGCTGAAGGTGTGCAGCATCCTCGCGCCGTCCTGCCAAGGTGGCAGATTGTAGATCCCGTCGACGTCGCTCATAATCACCAGCAGACTGGCTTGAATCTCGGCCGCCAGCATCGCCGCCAGGGAGTCGTTGTCCTTGATGGATATGCCCCTGCGACCGCCGCCGCCGGCGACTTCCTCGTCGACCACCGGCGGCGGCGACACCGCGTCGTTCGTATTGATGATAGGCACGATGTTCAGGCTGATCAGCTCGGTGAGAGTGCTGAAGAGGTTCTTGCGCGTCTCCTCGTTGTAGAAGTCCGGCTTGGTCACCAGCACCTGGGCGAGTTTCACTCCGTATTGAGCGAACATCGCGTCGTAGAGGGACATGAGGCCCGACTGGCCCACGGCCGCGGCTGCTCTGGGTTCCAGCATGGTTCCTGTGTGAACACAGATATCCAGATATTATATGTCTCACACCCATCTCGGCTCGTAACAGACGAGTCTGTCTTTAATATTCCTTTTCACAATATTAAGCGCAAGGAATACCACTCGTCTAGCAGATCGATTAAGATTCACACAAAAACAGCGCGTGACGTCGCGCTTTTCTGACCTGGACCTGGTATTACTGCAGTGTAGAACGAGTGCATATTATAAGTCGCTCCTGCCTTCAGCACGTGGACTGTGGAACTCACTCTAACAAAATATTCGCAAATCTAGAAATTTAGTGAAACTCAAGACTAACCTATACACACGATTTTTTCTATTACAAAATATTATAAATACAAAGTAACTTCAACCTTAATAATACTGTTTAGCGCGCATTAAAAAGATTTTTGTTTATATCAAACTTAAATATGATTATTTTTGTTACAGTTTTCCTTTCATAAAAATATTTATTTTGTATGTAAATATGCTCAATACATTTTTTTGTAATTGCATCCCTTAGAGGGGGACTGTCGTAAAATGATAAATGAACGCTCAATCAATCTTTCTCCCATTGGAGGACAGAATGTCGACAACACGAGGGACGCGCATATAGAGAGAAATAAGAGTTACTTCTGCTAAAATTGTAGTCATTTTTAGCGTCACGTAACTTCTTATTGTTTCAACAAAATAAATGTAATAGTATATATAAGGCTATTATCATTATCACTGCGATAACACTTGCTACAAACATGATTCTTCTGATCCTGATTATTTCACCGTGTAAATATAGCCACAAATATCAAAGACTCTTCTCAGTTCGCGACACGACAACGCGAGTTCGGATCATTCTCGAGATGAGACGACCTTGTCGACAAAAATTTTCAGTGAAGACGTCGGCGTCGACAGTAACGAACGGACAGACACGTAAACGATGACGCTGATAATCGGCGGGATACCTGTATCGGGGAAAGTTGTTCGCGCGATCTATTGATTCACTCGAATCTCTAAATTCAATTGTAAAGATACGGGAAATGTTCCTTGGAATTTTTGTTAGCAGAGCAAATACACATGTTCACATATGTTAGAAGACTCAGGTTGAAAATACACGCAAAAAAATCTAAGTTGGTGCAACCAAATGGGAACCAACTGAAAAGATGATCAGAAACGATATCTCTCTTATGAAAAACTAATATTTCTGTTGTCGCAACCGAGGTTATCGGACAAAATCCATAAAAACAGAGGGGACAATATTAGTCATCTTAAAAATGTCTAGATTCCATAAATTCATTTCTGAAAGTTAATATCACTGTTGCGCGTTAGGAATATGTATAGAGGTGTAAAAGTTTCTTTGTGCCGCGTGGTCAGCTGCGTGCCGCTGTCATTAAGTGAGTCATTAAGTGAGACAGTTCGTCCGAGTGTTAGGTTAAGAAGTTAATACATCACAGTGTTACATCTTTGATATCTCTTTTAAATCTATTGCGAAATATCCGCCGTGTGATATTTTCGAACAAAATTTATGAAGAGAACGAGAGGAAAATATCAGATAAGTATCGTTTATACAACATACACAAATATATAAACAATAAAGGGTTTGGAGATACTGTGTGTCGTTTTTCAGTTAAAAAGAAAGAACTAGAAGAAATTAACAGAGAGAAAATAGAGCACAAAGATACATGGAGATAGGAGACGGTGGAATTAAAAGTGATTAAAGGGAAAAGGTGAGTGCCAAATGAAGAAATTATGAATTTCAAGTAACCTTTGCATTGAATTTATAAGCATGAAGATAAATAGTGCAACTGACTTAAATATAGGTCACATTATATATAAATTAATGCTTTATATTGCTAAATCGTATCAAGTCCTAATTGGAAAATAACAGCTAGATATGGACGTAATCTAATTAGATTACGTCAATATTAAGAAAGATTATGAAACATAAATTTAAATATAATGCGACCTATATTTAAGTTAGTTGCACTATTTATCTTCATGCTTATAAACTCAATGCAAAGGTTACTTGAAATTCATGGTTTCTTCATTTGGCACTGATCTTCGATTGCACCAACAGAATTGTTTTTAATTGTGTACGGTTAAAATTTCGGGTTATGGATGACTTATATTTTGTTTATCGGTGCGTCGTCAATGTCGTCGAAACGTTTTACCGCGCTTTTTCAATGTTTACGCTTGCTGTTAACAAGTGAGGGTGGAAAATATGGGAAAAATGTCACCTTTGCGTTACACGAGACTGATATCTCCCGCGAAATATAATCCAATTTATTCAACACACAAAGAGAGAGAGAGACACCGTGTATCGTCGCGTTATGCGACATATAATGTTCGACGAGATAGCAGTTTTCTTTTTTATTATTAACGATGGTACACATCAGGAAAAATGACCATGACCATTCCAGATAAGCCATGCCGGAGGTTAAAGTTGCGTTGTTTAAAGTTACACAACGCGGCCTCTCTCACAGATCCGAGGCGCCAAATTACGTCAAAAATTACCGTCGTTCGGGAGCGGCCGCGACGGCTCCGATAATTTCCTTATGCTCGTGACTCGCGCGGTCTTAATTAGAATTATGAGCACGCTATTGATTAGGAGTGCCCTGACTGCCCCCTCCCCCTCAAATCGGACATCTCTCAAAGGGGATTAACGCAAATTGCGGTCTCGCTACACGGAGATTATCATATAGCCGGTGTCAATTATGCTAATGGCAGTTCATCCGCGCATTTACGGACGAAATGTCTCTCCTCCCTCTCCCTTCTCCTCTCCCGGAATATGAAAGTATTAATTAAAGCGCAGCTACACTTGTAGTACTTGAGTATGAAGATAGAAAGCCATGCCAACTAAAGAGCAGTCGCCGAAATCGTGTCGGTCTCTCAAATCGCATCTCATTTCCTATTTCACTATTATTATTAGAGACACATCAGATAACAATTTACCGCAACCACGACGCCACTTTGGCTCCACGAGCACGCGGTAAACTTCAATAGCGTTTTCATCTGAACGGATTTTGATCGATCTGAGAACGCTTGCAAGAAAGTTCAAGCGTTGCAAGTTCCGCGATTGACTAATGGAAACTCATGACGTCATTAACCGACCCCGAATCGGTCAGAATCCGTTCAGTTGGAAACGCTGAATTCACGTATTTGTATTACTATATTTTGTGAATAAGAGGGAAGATCATTTAAACCGTGAATGTTATTTCAAACTTCTCGCATTATTTGCAAATAGTTTTCGCAGCAATGCTTCTGTTACTGTTAGCGGCTGCTTTCACTTGTCAACACCTTGTCGGCTCCAAATGCTAAAGCAATTTCACGTATTTCAATACTTTATTATATCTAATAACCTTGATTATTATTGAACATGAACGATATCTAACGATAATAATGAAAAATAAATGAACAAGAAATATAAGCGAAAAATTTCCAGATTATATCTTATTTTATGCGCGCTGCATTTGCAAAAATCAAACACATTTGATGAAAGACGATTTGGAAGATCGGTACGATTTCAGCAACTCTCCCATATACAGCCACCTCGTGTGCGGCTGTCTCTTGCAAGAAAAACGAAAGAGAGAGCGAGAGCTTCTCCTCGTCATTTGCGAAATAGATCAAGTTGAACTTTGAGACAATCGGTGATCGATGGCCTTTGAGCACGGAAATTGTAGCGTTTAGATGGAACGCGTTCTTACGAGATTATGATTCATACACACATACATGACACACACACACACACACACACACACACACACACACACACACACATCGCTGACGAGACGAAGAAAACGGGACAGAATTAATGGCAATTGATCGATTTATAGTTCAGTTGTAAGACGTAGATAATCGTAGAAACTATTATGAAACGTGTCAATGATGCGGAGACTGGCCGCGCGTGCAGATCAAGACAGAAGTGAATTCCACGTGGCTGATCGAGAAGAGTAAAAAATGGAAAAGGGGACGAAGAGCGTGAGCGTGAGCGCCACTTTGCGACGGTGAGAGATTGAAATTGGAAATTAGTATTAGTGACTCGGAGAGGGCGAGAATGGGTCACGAAGTCGCCTCTGCACTGCACTGCAGCAGAGAAGATGTCGGTCCCAAGGGCGGAGCTGTGAGGAGCAGGTAGCCGTATTGAAGGCATTCGCATCGTTTGCCCGCGAATTAACAACCGGTGATATCCGGACTGTGTAATGCGCTTGTCGACGGCGAATATGCGAATTAAAGCGAAGGGAGTTTGCGAGACGATGTAACTCCAAAAGCTACCCACGCGCGGTCCCCGTCGTCGTTTATAAGGGCGCAACAGTTGCCGAAACGCGAGGAAGACAGCTAATGAGGAGATTAGACGCGCTTGGGAGAGGAGCGAATGACGCTTAAGGGTTCTGTACAAAGTTCATCCCAGCTGAGAAATCGGATTAGGTCCAGCTTGATGTGTTGGATGTTACGGTCTTGTAACGTACAACAATCGACCCTCATATTACGCCCCTTAACATTTGTTTACTATTATTATTATTAAGCCTAGAACCCTAAACATGGGTTTACCCAGATCAGTGTTTCAAATGTTTCTTAAAAACATGCGCTCTGTTTCTCGCTTTAGGAAACTTTCACGTTATTTTGTTAATACCTAACTTACTAATAGTAACTTTGATTATTATTGTTTCTTGCTTTGGGAAACTTTTACAACACCTTGTTATACTTTGTTAAAACAATGGTAAAACAAACGTACAATGGTAAACAAACACTGACGTGCCGTGAAATGCTGCGATGCCTTTCGGCAAGAATCGCTGTCGGTTCGACAACGTAGAATTTCACGGCACGTTTCACCGTTCGGTTGTTAATTATCCGACCTGTTTTCACGCCACGGAACGTAGAGAGACGTAAACAAGAGTGCTGACAGCGTGCTTACCTGCATGCTCCCGCGTGTGATCCGCCGGACTCAGGGTCTCCCTCATTGACAGGGACATTAAGAGCTCCTGGGTGAGTTTCTGCTTGCCAAAGGCGACCGCACCGCTAGTCACCATAATACATTCGCGTCCCTCGTTCTGGCATTCGGCTACCTGCTCGACGATGGACGCCAGACGTCCCAGCGCCAGGCCGTGCTCGTCCTCCCTCGTTATAACGGCGCTGCCGAGTTTGACAACCAGACGACGGGCGTATTTCAGTTCGCTACGCTCAGTGAAGGTCTGCGGCCGTCGCGGTCTCTCCGATGTTTGCAGCTCTCTTCGTAGATCTATGCGGTTGTCCTTTAAAAGTTTCTTTTTTCGTTCCTTTTCTCCTCGCAGAGACGAAGCTCGGAGTGAAAAGAATCGTCCTTCCACTCGGAGCAATAAGAGTCCATTATCGGATACGCGTGCACGATAGGTACTTATATATTATACCTCGCACGGAGAAAAATATTTTTGCTCTTTTAGCAAAAATATTTTTGCAAAATCTACTGCATATTCGTAGTGACATCAAATAAATTTTGTTAACGTAACTAATTTTACAAATGATTCGTTATCAGAGCAAAAGTAGTTTTGTTGCCAGGACAGAAAAAAATTTGTTGAGTGTATTTGTCCTAAGAATCACGTTAATTTGCTATTGATGCAAAATAATGTATCCTTAGCAAATTTATTTGCTATCGGAGCAAAACTGCAACTGCTTATATAAATCCATCATGGTTCTTATAGCAAAATAATTTGTAGATTCAGCAAATTATATCAAATAGTGATTAGTACTCTTAGCAAATCTTTTTATTGTCCATATAATAACGAAAAGATTTTGTTAGATCAACAGAAAATTTACTGGGCCAGCAAATTATTTTTCTCTGTGTAGCATTTCAGTTAGCACTGATTATACTTTAGAGGTTTGATAACATCATTAGCTTACACGGAGAAAAATAATTTTGTTCTTTTAGTAAAATCGTCCTTGCTACTGCATATTCGTAGTGAGATGAAAAAAATTTAGTTGATGTAACTAATTTTACAAATTATTCGTTATCAAAGCAGAAGCAGTTTCGTTTTCAGGATAAAAAAAATTTGTTGAGTGTATTTGCCCTAAGAATCACGTTAATTTACTATTGATGCAAAATAATGTATCCTTAGCAAATTTATTTGCTATCGGAGCAAAACTGCAACTGCTTATATAAATCCATCATGGTTCTTATAGCAAAATAATTTGTAGATTCAGCAAATTATATCCAGCAAATAGTGATTAGTACTTTTAGCAAATCTTTTTGTTGTCCATATAATAACGAAAAGATTTTGCTAGACCAGCAGAAAATTTGCTGGGCTAGCAAATTATTTTTCTCCGTGTGGTTATATTATAGCGTTATTTAATTTTTGCTTTAATTAAATTAATGCATTTATTTAATAAGTTATTTTAATAATTATATTATAATTATTATATATAATTTAATAATTGCTTTAATTAAATTAAAACATCAATTTCCTTTTACCAGGAAGAATAAATTGAGTAGATTTTCTTTTCACGTTCAGTGCAAAATTTCCAAACCTAAAAGCCATGTCGAGTTAGAGTTGCTGAAAGGAGAAATTCGGAAACTGAAATTGCGTCCAACACAGCCTGACGGTGTACCGAGAGTTATATTACAACAATGGGCATTTGTTAATTTTTGATATACATACTATCGTGGCATCAACTGAATTATAACGATTCGTTTCTTTCTGTGCGAGAGACACAGTGAGCAAATTTTCTTTTTATTCATCGCAGAACTTCCGAAACAGTATAAAAGTCATGAGATATTAATGTTTAAAAATAGTTAAAGCTCCAGGGAGAAACTTGGAAACTGAAATTGCGTCCAATGGAGCCTGACGGTGTACTGAGAGTTATATTACATTACAACGCTTGTCGCGGTATCCTATTATATTCGCGCAACCGGGAACCGACCCGGCGCATTCACGGCAAGTCCGGCGATGTGAAATTTCGCGAGAAGTTAGCAAGTTATCACAAAGATGCACAAAGACGTAGGCGAAGATTGATATTTGTGTTACTCGTATTTTTATGCAGATTATATTTATTTCAATATATTAGCATGGCAACGCTAAAACATTCTGCAGCGATTTATTATTTCTTTATTTTCATATATGCTGATATTTTAGGAATAACGCTGCTTTTAATCGAGATTTGTTGCTTACGCCCATTTATGCTGATATTTTAGGAATGAGTTATTAACAAAACTCGCTGCTTTTAATCGAGATTTGTTGCTTACGCCCATTTATGCTGATATTTTAGGAATGAGTTATTGACAAAACTCGCTGCTTTTAATCGAGATTTGTTCCTTATGCCCATTTCTACCGACGTCAATTGAACTTTAACTCGACTTTAATACTCTATACGGACAAAATCTATAAGACTCGGGTTAAGATTCGGCCGGAGTTGGTGAAAGCAGTTAGAAAGTTAGACCTTATTGTCAGTCTATTGTTCTGCACTATTAGAAACATAGAAAATTAAAAAAAATTTTTAGCGAGATTTGATCTGTGTTCCTTAAAAACGTAGACCTACTTGAATCAATCTATCGATTAGACTTGAAAAAGAATATGAATAGATCTTGAATAAATTTGAAAAAAAAATTTGGTGAAACTGCTAACAGCAGATGGCGAAACTGTGAATGAACTTTACAATTATGCAAGAATGAACAAAAGCATGATTTTTTGTTACTAACAGCTAGTCCCAAATGTCTTTCCACATGTCATATCACGACAAGCATTGTAATGTAACATAACTCTCAGTACACCGTATACACAGGTTGTACTGGACGCAATTTCAGTTTCCAAGTTTCTCCCTGGACTTAACTATTTTTAAACATTGACATCTCATTGACTTTCATTCTGTTCCGAAAGACGTGCAACGAACAAAAAGAATATTTACTCACTGTGTTCTTCGCACGAAAAGAAAGATCCAAGCGTTATGGGCGCCTCAAATTAATTGAAAGCAGTTTTTACTTTCTACTAGTTGCGTCATTTCTTACCAGTTACACCTTTCTTGCTCTTTGAAAGATTAAGCTTGCGAATGAATATTTCTTGTCCTTAACGAGAAGAGAATCACTTAATTTGTTGAACGAAGAATCTCAGCGTTACTTGCGCTTTTGAAATTGTGTATCAAATTTTCATCTTTATTTTTCTCAAAACATACTTGATGGATCATTCTTGCATAACTACGGTCAGTTGACTTCAGCCTCCTCCTCCCTCCCCCGCCACTATCGTCCTCTCTCGATACCGACACGCGCTCGAGGTGAGACGAAGTGCGAATGGTATTTTCCGAGAGCGCTGTTTAAGCGTGAGATTATCGTCTGCGCTGTCTTATCGCTTCGCGCCTCGATGACGTTGCTAATTCCATCGTCCACGACGCTTAATAAAGCGCGTCGCGCGGGCGCGGCGCATAATGAGACCAGTTTATTAAAATCTCGTAGGAAAAAGCCTATTTGCATGATGGAATTTATACGCGATCAGCTGTGTGCGCGACACACGCTTCCTGGCCACGTGATCTCCACGCGAGTAGCGTGATCGGGGCACAACAACAGCAATTAAATGTACGGGGGAATGTCGGAAGGTTACGTCTCCGCTCGGGCGCAGAAACAAAACGGAGCTGCATGCCTCATAGGTATTGACGATTCTTATCGCCGCGCCAGCTCTCCGACACGATACGGACTTTATTTTGAGTCTTACCACACACGGAGAGAATGTTATCGTGGTTATCTTGACTCATACGAGATAAAGGTGCCACTGTCCGGATGCATGAATATTCTAAATCTATACCTGATTCTGAATATTCTTATTTGTTTTAAATACGACCACTTATGAACTTTCAACGTAAAATACACAGAGTATACAGTATTATTCTGCGTTGGAAGTTTAAGTGAAGAAAAAGCGCCAAGTGTGTCTCTTTCTTTAAAAAAATTTACTCTAATAGCGTTCGTAAAAAAAGTTGTTACATAAAATATAATTAAGAAAAATATAATAAAGAAAAAAGCTTTAATAAATAGCGTTGAGGAGAAATACAACAAACTGTAAAATAATATTATAAAATAAATATTATATTTAAAATAATATTATAACAAAGCCATGAAAAATCATACACACGGATATATACTGAATGTATACATGTATTCTATGTTGAAAGTTTAAATATTCGTAATTAAAGACTAATCCAACAAGAATGTTTAGGATTAGATTTGGGGATTGATATTTCATCTTAAATTCTCTTCAGTTTCACTAAGTTTTTATCAAATCTAGATTTTCAAGGTCCATATTCAAAGTCGTATTCAAGGTTCATTCATATTTTCTTTCAAGTCTATACAATAAATCGTCAGGTAGGTCTACGTTTTTAAGGAACGCAGATCAACTCTTGCTAGAAATTCTTTTCAATTTTACTATGTTTCTAGTACAGATGTAGTAAAGATATTACTGCAAAATGACGAGTCACGATATTGAGTCTCGTTGATTCAATAAAGCTGAATTTCCGTAAGTTTGTCGTTATCGTATAAACTTGACACGATAACGATAAGTTTACGAAAATTTTCTACCTAAAATTCAACTTTATTGAATCACCGAGACTCAATATCGTGACTCGTCATTTTGTGATATCTTGAGTCTCGATGGTTCAATAAAACTGAATTTTTAGAATTTTAGAAAATTTCGGTAAGCTTGCTGTTATCGTATAAACCACTATAATAAAAACTGAGTAAAAGTTAACAAAACTGCAAATATCTTAATAGAATATTATTAAATTTTCAGTTCTTTTATAGTAAAAAAATTAATATTTCAAAATTAAATATTTTTACGAGCTTGTCAGTGGTTCACACGATAATGACAAGCTTACGGAAATTTTCTACCTAAAATTCAGCTTAATTGAATCACCGAGAATTAAGATATAACTGCAAAATGACGATCTTGAAAAGAAAAACAAAATATATTACTAACTGCATGTATCATACACTTATATTGAGTATTTGATCATCAAAATTATATTTTTTTTCTCTTTATATGTTGTATAAATACATGTCAAAATAACATTTCCGCATATTCATTCAGTTTGTCATAAAAAATTGTGAAATAACTAGCACGATTTTCAGGCAATCTGACCTTCCAGTTTCCTTAAAGGTCTCAGAGAGAGAAAAAGAGAAAGAAGAGAGAGAGAGAGAGAGAGAGAGAGAGAGAGAGAG